GAACGACCAACCTAAAAGTTGGTGGTTCGGCCGGCCAGTTGGCCAACCAGAATAGTTAGTGGTTGGGCCGGAACATATATAATATGTGTATTATTTTATATCTACAGACAACTCCCCTCCTCCCCGCCAAAAAAAAATCCGTTTATACTCTCAAGCCTGCACCCCAGTAACCTCAAACCCATCAATCGCACCTTTTAGCACCTCCACCCTCCTTGGCACAAAATACGCTGTATACCTCTCCGGCATCGCCACCAAGCTCGTCGGGTCCGAATTCCCCGTCAACGGATGCGCATCCACGCCATCCGCGCTCTTGATCTCAAAGGCGTTCAACATGCGGATAAACACAAGATACAGCTCCCTATTTGCCAGCAGCGAGCCAGCACACATGCGGTACCCCATGCCGTAAGTGAACATCGGCGCATCGGGCTGCTCGAGCCAGCGCTCGGGGCGGAAGACGGAGGGATCGCTCCACACAGCGGAATCCATGTTGCAGGCCCATGCGTTGAGGAAATAGACTGTCTTGGCGGGGATGACGATGCCGTCGTAGGTTACGTCTTTGATGGAGACACGGGGGAGGGCGAGACGGAGGACGGTGAAGTAGCTGGGGGATGTTAGTGGATAAACATATGGAGGAAGGGGTGGGGTTAACATACCGGAGGCATTCGCGGACAAGGGCGACGATGTAGCGGCATTTTTGGTCGTCTTGGGCGTCACATAGGGGCTCGTCGGGGGTGTAGAACTCGGCGATTTCCGCCCATGCTTTCTTTTGGATATCAGGTCGTTGTGCGAGGAGTGCGACGCTCCATTGGAGGAGGGTTGTGACTGTGTCGAGGCCGCCGGAAAGCATGGTGAGACTGATGGATGTGAGTTCAGCATCGTTGAGTTGTGTCTCCTTGTCGAGGATGACGTTGGCTTGGATGCATGGTTTGTGTGTGCCCTTCTCCATGCGCTCCTCGAGGCCCTTGTTCAGACCCTTCAAGTACACGTCGCGACGGCTTCTCATCTCACGTGCCTTCTTAGAGCCGAAGCTGAAGGGGTTCAGACGTAGGATAGGTATAAAATCCTGGAGGTTGCCGGTTGTGCTGCGAAATCTGCTGACTTCTTCCTCGACGTGGGTGATTTCTTTGAAGAGTGCATCGTTCTGGCTGCCCATGCGGACACCCCAGTTCAGAGTCAAGGCAAGACTGAGACTCAGGCGTTGGATACAGGGCAAGGGATCAACACCGACGGTTCCTTCTTTGCCATATGTGAGGAGCTCGGACAAGAAGTCCTTGGTTTCGATGTCCAAATGTGGGATATAGGTTTGTACAGAGGGGCGGTTGAGCGCGGAGGCGGCTCCCTTCCGGCGGCGCTTCAATGAATCACTATAAGGGGATGTTCCAATGGTAGTTCCAGCAGTGTCAGAAAGAACCTATGAATCAATTTAGTATGAGATATTTTAAGCTTTGCACAATTGGGACCTATCAACCTTGTGGAATGTATAAAACTCGGGTCTCGAGCTCAAAGCCTGGGCGTGTTGGCCAAACAAGACCTTGGCTGAGGCAGCAGAGTTGACAACGACAACTGGGATATTCCCCAGCTGGATCTGGTAAACTGCTCCATATGTCTTTGCCCACTCTCTGTATTTCTCAGCTGCATTCACGCGGATCTGCCCAATGTTTCCAATCAATGGGATTCCAGAAGGCCCTTTCATCCCCGGAATGCGTGCTTGTCGACGCACAAACTCATTTATGACGACATAAGTAATTGGAACGAAGACGACTAGAATGGCAAGGAATTGAAAGGGGCTCTCTTGAGCAGCACCCAAGGAGGCTGAGACGATGCTTCCTATCGCCATCTTGTCGCTGGGCTATGGGCTCCTCTAAAATGTAGCGGGACGAGTGCAGTGAAAGCCGCAGTGAGGGAGGCACTTGACAGCTTTGCACGATAAAATTTTAGTAGATGAAGATAGCCAAAAGTTATGGAAGTATAGGAACCCTTGATAATACTGTAAGAGCTTCGAACCATGAATTACAACAGCTATCTTTAAAGTGTGATTTCGTGCAGCTTCACCGGAACACGTTCCGCTTCTGCATATCGCCTCTCCTGCACCATTATATGCCGTTGAACAACCCCGCGATTAGATTTGGAGAGCAAAGCAAGTTAGAGTATGCTTGCCAAAATAATGCCATGGGGGAGTGGATTGTGGGGAAGTGGACCATACCGCCCGGCGGAACAGGTTCCGCGACTGTATATCGCTCCCATTGCACCATTTTTGGCCATACTTTTTGAACATCGTGCTCCTTGTAATCGAGAAGCGACTGTTGGTAATCTCGTGCCTATCATTCCTATTCTATCTCTAAAATTCATTGGATTAGAAGAGTGAGACAACGAGTTGCATTAGCGAGCGTACAACAGTCCTTACCCTATCTCAAAGTTGTGTGTTAGGTGAACATTTTGGCGATAGCCAAGCGTATAGTACATAACTCATCTACCTTTTAAGAAATATTAAATTCTCGTTAACCTCCTCTTCCTACTCACTATGGCGGGCAAGGGCTCCGTCTTCCTCCTCGGCCCAGGTTTCATTGGACTTGGAGTCCTCAAAGAGCTCCTCCATGAGGGGTACCAGGTCACAGTCCTAGTCCGGAAAGAAGAAGCAAGAGCAGGCCTCGAGAAGCTGGGGACTAAAACTATACTCGGATCGCTGGATGATGGCGATGTAATCCGCAATGCCGCCGCCGCTGCCGACATCGTGATACACACCGCGACAGCCGATCACGAGCCCTCAGCCGTTTCCATCCTCGAGGGCATCAACGAGCGCGCAAAGGCTGGGAAGAGCTCTATCTACATCCACACCAGCGGCTGCAGTGTCATCACTGATAAATCCAACGGTGCATATGCCAGTGACAAGATCTATGAAGATGACAAGCCCGAGACGATTGACAGCGTAGCGGACGATGCGCCCCACCGCACCATTGACCTGGCCATCCTCAAGCGCCGGGCCGAACTGGGAGCTAAAGCTAAGATCGCGATTATGTTCCCGCCGCTGATCTATGGGCTGGGCCAGGAGAACCGCCTCTCGATCCAGCTACCGACCATGGCGCGCTTCGCACTCAAGCACGGCTACCCGGGGTATGTGGGAAAGGGCAAGGCGGTCTGGCGACACATCCACGTCGCCGATCTGGCGCGGGGCTACATGACCATTTTGCACCACATGGAATCCTCGTCTGGGGAGGAGGTGCTCAAGAACCCGTACTTCTTCTCCGAGAACGGGGAGGACTATTCGTGGGAGGCGTGTGCTGAGATGATTGGGAAGGCGCTGAAGCAGGCGGGCAAGATCGAGGATTCGACGCCGAGGGAGATTCCGGAGGAGCTGTATGGTGATCTCTTTAAGGAGTGGTCTGTCCCGGTCATTGGGCAAAATTCGAGGAACCGTGCCAATAGATTGCGTGCGCTGGGCTGGGAACCCCGTGAGAAGTCGACCTTCGATTCGCTGATGTCGGATGAGTTGCCTCTCCTGCTGGCTGAGACGGGAGAGTTCAATGGCTACGCAGCAGCTGTTGCTTCCTAGTTCTGTATGCCGCTCAATAGCTAATAGCACTGCTAAAAGCAAATATAAAAAATCGTGAGTCCAACATTACAGTAATGAGCACCTCGTAGTCCGTGGATCAAGCGTTTGCCTCCAATATCAACCGCACTCCATTCTTTCACTGCTCCTGGCATCCCAACGTGCAGTAAAGTCTCTATAATCCATTGATTATTAGGGATCCCGCGCTCTCAAGGCAAACAGATAAGAGTTAAATAGTTAATTGATTGCTGCTATTAACAACCTCTAGCAATTGATGCCAAGTCAATATACCACTGTGATCCCAGTTTGCCGAGCACAATTTGGGCCAGGCCGCCCCAGCTGTCACAAATTACCCACTTCGACTCCACCTAGAAAACATGATATGGCCACAGTTGTGGCTTGCACGATTGATTGATTTTCAATATACAAATTCCCAAAAAGACACTTCTTAATCTTCAAGGTTGTTCCCGTACTATAAATAGGCAAAAGAAGCCAAAGGCGACTGAGACTTACCGCACTTTTGTCTCACTTCGCTCGGGATTGATGTCAAAGACAAACCTCGTCCGACACATTTAACATATCCTACACTTCAGCACCCGGGCAATAACACTACAACTTGCCGATACATACAACCCAAACTTCATTCGCAATGCTATCCTCGCCAATATTCCGTGCGACGATACAGTCATGCCTCCTCTCCGCATCAAGTAACGTGCTCGCCCAAACCATCAGCGCATACCGAACCAACGTAACCTCCCCACCCCTCTCTGTCAACAGCACCACTAACACACCCCGCAGTCACCCTACACCATATCCTGGACGCCCGTCCTCCACTTCATCATCTACACCGCTCTCAACTGCCCCCCCAACTTCCTCTGGCAACAGCTCCTGGAGTCTCTCTTCCCCAGCCGGACTCTACGCCCCTCCCCCGCCGCCATCGCCGCCGCATCGTCCAACGACGACAAGGAGCTCGACTCTGAGGAAGCCACCCACTCGATCGTGGAGCCGCGTCTCAATGGCCGCAACACCGTGCTGAAGTTCCTTATTGATCAGAGCGCGGGTGGCGCGGCCAACACCATCGCATTCATCATGATCATGGCTGGGCTGCGCGGCGCGAGTTGGGAAGAGGCGTGGTATCAAGTTCAGTTCGAGTTTTGGCCGCTGATGGTCGCTGGTGCCAGGCTGTGGCCGCTGGTGAGTCTGATTAATTTTACGGTTCTGGAGACGGTGGAGGCGAGGAATTTGCTGGGGAGTTTGGCGGGGATGGCTTGGGGTGTGTATTTGAGTCTTGTGGCGGCGAGCCCGTGATGCTCTCTAAAAACAGCCCTAGTTATTATCTATGGGGCAAGCTCATGTGGTAGACGGTGTCTCAGCGTTCTTTAATGCATGGCTCTTACTTCTATGAATACAGATTCAACAACATTGGCCACGTTTGATTGATAGCTGGATGCCTTGAGCCTCCGGCCTTACATCTTTGATATATCATGGCAAAGTCTAGTCTAGACCTCTTTCCTACGGAAACAAAGTGACATAATGCCACCACCACCCTGCCATACGACGTTTTCTAGCCCCTATTATCCCCCTCCATCCCCTCTTCTCCCCCCTCTTCTCTCCCCTGTTCTCTCCCCTCTTCTCTCCCTTCTTCTCTCCCCTCTTCTCTCCCCTCTTCTCTCCCCTCTTCTCTCCCACTCACCCCATACCTAGCTCAACTTTCACAAGAATCAGCCCCCTCCTTCGTGCCTCCGCGGCGGCGACAGAAGCGCCATGCATCTCCTAGCAAAAGCCATTGTCCACTCCTTGAAGTGGTTGAAAGAGGGAGGATACCCACGCGACAATTTTATTTCAGAAGAAACGAGGGTTTGGGCATAAACCGATTTACTGTGATTGATGTTAGAAGGAAGGAACGACCAGACGTCTGAACGAACTACTGCAACGAAGATCACTTGAGGAAAGAGCGACCAGACTTCTGAATGAACTAGTGCAACGAGGATCACTCGAGGGAGGAACGAACATCTCGTTGTCAACAAGGGAAGGAGCACAGGCACTGGCAAGGACAACGTAATCAAAATATGTGAACAAACGAATATCAAATCAACAAAAGCCAGCGTCACAAATCAATAATGAAAAGCAATCGGTTTCAATCTAATTGATTGTCTAACGGCTCTCCTATCTACAATAGTACAGTGGAAGTAGAAAATGGCAACTCTATAACATTTAAAGTACAGACAAGTCGCCGAATTTCTCCTGTATACTGTATTAGTACATGTTTTCCTGAAAGCAAGACAACTGTCAACAGTTGTTTTACGTACCTTGTAGCCTGGAACGCCCCAGCGTCCCTTGGAGACGAGCTGGGTGGTTCTCTCGTCGATATCTGGGCGGGCGGCGGCAACCTCGTCCTGGAGAAAAATGTCAGCCACCATCCATAAACACCATTGTATCCGGCACTACATACTACAGTGAGGTCCTCGAATGGGCGGGCGTCCTGGATGTTCTTGAGGGTCTTCTCCAAATCCTTGAGCTCGAGGTCGACTCTGCTCTTGGTCTCCTCAGCGTTCTTGATGGCCTGGGTCTCGAAGGTCTCGATGGCCTTGACCTGGCGGGAAACGTCGTAGGTGGCTGGCTTGAACGACTTGAAGTGGTTCTCTATGGAGTCAACGACGGCCTGGTTCTTGAGAGTCGCGCGGTAGTGGCTGAAGTCGACAGTGGATGGGGCCTCGGAAAGCTGCTGGAGCTTGCGGCGGGCATCCTCGTTGCGCTTCTTGAAGGCGTGGAGGGAGGCGACGGTCTGGCCGCGGAGCCCAAGGCTCGTGGTGACTGCTTGCCAGTCAAGCTTGAGAGCTGCGCTACGCTGTTGGTGATGCTGTCAGCTTGTTGTTCTCGAATAGATCTCAGGGTCAGGAAGAAGTTGATCGCTCCCCAGCGGATGCCGCGGCGCCTTCTTTCCGACCCTGAAAACTCTATCTAGTAGCTCGCTCCAATTCAATTGACTGATTGCACTTACTCCGGCTGACATTGTGAAGGTGACGCGATTGAACGATGGGGGAGTTGATGATCGTGGTATCTCAAGGGTGCAGAACTCATTCGGCTGAAGCTAACTCGGTTATATATTTCACGTGACCGCACCCGACTTTTGTTCCAATATAACGAATACAGGGACCTACAAAGTAATGAGAGTTTTAAGGATCAGCTACATTTACATGTGGCTAAAAATCACAGTGTTTGGTTTATTGAAGTAGGCATAGCATAGATGGAGATTGTTTTGAAGAGGCCATAATAAAATGGCATTTTGGTCTGGTCTGGTTCATACATGCTCTCGGAATCTGCACTTGCCCATCTACTACTTTACAAATCCTGTAATAGAAACGGCTGTCCATATCATATTACTGCTTTATTGCACATTGTACAAAAGCTAGGTAGATAACAAGGCGTCAGGCGCTGAACAATTGTCCCGTCCGAACCTATATACTGAGAGCCATGATCGAGTTGACTATGTCACTGTCGTTCTCTTTCAATGCCTTGACAGCCTTGTTGCGGGAAACGTTTGCCTGGGTCATGACAAGCTCGATATCCTTGTCCTCAAGTCCCTCTGCGTCAACCTCCTCATCATCTTCCTCCTCCTCCTTCTTCTCGTCAGCGGCCTCGACAGCCTTGCCCTTGCCGTGGTCGTGGGAGTGGTCGTGACCGGCGTGGTCGTGGCCAGCGTGGTCGTGGGTGTCAGCAGCTGCGAGCTGTTGGGCGGCAGATGCCTGTGCCTGGGAGTTGAGGTCCTCAATCTTGGCCTCACCGAAGACGCTAAGAGTAAATTGTAAGTATACATGCCAAACACCTTGGAGAAGCAATTGGTATCTTACATGTAGGTGTTGCTGTTGGGCGACTTGTAGACCTCTGGCTGGTTGATGACAAAGAGGATCTGGTAGACAGTTAGATCGGATGTTTTACGGCAATATATATCTGCTGGCCTGAACAAACTTCGCAGTCTGCCTAAGGGGCTTCCGTGCTACGTACGTTCTTTGGGCGTCTCAGGGTAACTCTGGTGATGCCTGGGACTCTGACCAAGCCGAGTTTGGCAATCGACTTGCGGGCCTTCTTCTCATTGCGAGAGTGGACAACGGCGGTGGCGCCGGCTGGGATGGACTCTCCGGTCTCGACCTCGGAATCGGAGTCGTCAGATGCTTCCTCCTCTGCCACAACCTGCTTGGGCACCTCCTCGTCGTTCAGTTCTTCGATGCGTGGGTTAGACATGGTGAGAGCTGTGAGGACCTTGTATTAGCTGTGGTGTTCTTCTGGCAGGTTCCTGACGAAATTCCAAAATTGTGCGGGCGCCATTGCTCAATTTTGACTGGTCGTCTCTTCACGGAATCGCAAATAATAGCTGTACAAAAACGGGCAGCAACATACCTTGGGATCTTTAATGTACTGGAGCTGGAGTCAAATTATTGTAACCTCGTCGGTGTTGTCGATAGAATGTTAGGGTTCGCACGCAGTTTATCAATTCGGCTAAGCCTAAACGAGTAGGCGGGCATAATTTCTGAACATTTCAAGGTGACGGCTACGCCGTACGTACCTGACCCTTATGTAGGTAGGACATGTACGGTAATTACAGATTACAGACTGGCTAATGTACAATTAAATTTGGGCTTATGTCACTTCACAAATAGGTCTCTCAAAAATAGGCATAAAACCGCTTTGCTGGGACTGAGTTCCGGATAGTCTTTGATGTTCATATGCATTTGACGCCTGCCTTCTTTGACGTAGCATACAAGGCTTCCGAATAAGCTAAGGAACCCAGCAACCCATGCATTTCATGATCACGCTCCCCGTGCCATAAAGATCCCCTTATTTCGCAGCTGCCTTGACCTTGGCCAACGACTTCCTGACCTCGAAACGTGCCTGCTTCCTCAGTCTCAGAACCTTGAAGCGCTCGAAATCGGTGAGTGCGCGACGGCGCTCCTTCTGGGCGCGCTTCTTTGCCCATGCGCTCTCCTGCCACTTGGCCTCGATGCCAGCCTTCTCCCATGCAGCCTTGACGGTACCGGAGCGGGATCCACGGGGGAGCTTCTCCAGAACGAGGGGTGTGAGAATGAGACGGGCGAGAGCGATCGACTGGCGGGGAACGGCGGTCTTGGTGTCGGTGGATGGGCCATCAATCAGGACCTGCCTGCAGTTAGTATATATGTCCCAGGTGTCTCAGATCTTTTTTGCTGGACGTACGCGCTTGTGGTCGATAATCTCGACAATAGTGGCGAGCTTTCCATCTTGGGATCCTCCATCGATGAGAACGATCCTTCCCACCTCGACTAATCTCCAGCTGGAGGCTTTGATCTCAGCGTCTCCCATTGTGTTGGCTGTCGAAGTCGAAAAGCTGGGTGCTGTTTGTTGGGTGCGGATGTCGTGAAGTCGCGATTGGATTCAATCTCGATGTGGGAAAAATTGAAGCGAGCCCTAGCCAGCTTTCCGCACCACATTTGGTTTAGACTGCACGTGACTAAGCCTAACAGGGATAACGTTATTCCGGCAAGAACTTCTCTTCCAGCTATTTAATAAAACCTATTTTCTCTTCAACCACGATCCTTCCAAACATTCACCAGTCTCTGGTAGACCACCATTGAATGTTCTATACGAGAACTTTTCAATCTGGTGGCTCAACACCTTATTCACTGTATGTTATACCTTCTTCTTTTCTCCCGCAGCTTCAGGTGATGATATAATTTGCGATTGACCTTGCGTTCGTGGGACCCTCGCCGGGGTTTCTATACGGCGTGAGAGAGAGATATACCTTTCTTACATATCCTGATTACTGAAGCTCAAGAATGATTTGTTTTCTATATCATTTCTATGTACACATACTGACCTGTGTCAGAACTTTTAGGATACGATATGCGCAAGCAGTACGTGGGCCCGGAACCAAACGTTTCCATGACGAAGGACTCCTGGGTTCTGGGCCAGCTTGACAGTTGCCCAATGGTATGTCTTATCTCATTTATCTACAATCACCAACCCAAAATACGTCCAATGATTAAAAAACAAGCACTGAAAATCGTGAAACTCTTCGGAGTTTATGAACTTTTCTAACCAAGATCACTGAGCTGGACCTTCCCATATATTTCATAATATACAAACTTTACGGTGTTGAACACGTACTAATACTGTCTCAGGATACTTCCAAACGAACAGTCGTCGCTGTCATGTTCCATGGTCATACCGATATGGGGAATCAGTTTGGCTGCGCTGTTGATGATTCATCCCAGTCACCCATAATAGTTAATTATATATTGAATAAAGAAGATATACCTCAAATCAGATTATCAAGTGAATACCGTACTGAATAATTGGGTGCTGGTTGTGAACTTATAAATGCGATACCTTCTCCTCGGGATCAAGAAACCTCTTCCTCATATATTCAACACATACAATGCTCTTCACTACGACTATCCCACCACTATCTGCTTTGACGGATCAACACTCAAAAGTATACAAGAGGTAGACCATCTGAGACATATCTTGGCATACATCGCGAGCGCGTCAGGTATTGTTCAACCTCCAAGCTGACATATTCCATCACTCACGGCAACTCCGGGAAGTGTGGTAATGAGCTTCCAAAGACCCAGAGACTTTCCAGGTCATAACAGGCCAACCCCGCAGCGTTTTCTTACCCCTCTCGGCTGGGCAGTCCGCTTTCCTGATGGCCACATAGTTTACGAGAATCGTATGGGGAGACAGGGGCCCCCAAGAGGTGGCTATCCATCTCCGAGGCAGTTCCCAGGCCGACATCCAAGGCAGCCCCAGGGGCAGTACCCGGGACAATCTATGGGCGGTTTCCCAGGGCAATCTCAAGGACAATATCCAGGACAATCGATGGGAGGCTTCCCAGGACAGCCTCAAGGACAATCGATGGGTGGTCTCCCAGGGCAGCCCCAAGGGCAGTTCCCAGGACAATTCTTTGGTCGATCTCCAAGCCAGTCTTCAACTCAGTCCTCTAGCCACTTCCCAGGCATGGTCATAACCCAGTCATCAGGACAGATGCCGGGGGTGACTATAATACAGCCTCCTGGTACAGGCCAGTCTCCAGTGTTCATATCCCCATATCCGGGGCAAGTCCTCGGCCAAAACCCAGGCAGTCAACCCACGCAGCAACCCGGCGGAGGCTGGTCAGCGTCGCCAGGGCCGAAACTTCGCCAGCGTTTTCGAACCGGCCCTGAGCGGGTGAGAGTGGCTGAACTCAAGGAGGACGAGATAGATTGTCCGATCTGCTACCGAGATTATTACACCGGCGATTCTGAGAATGAATCGGAGGATGCGGTGAGGATAGGGTGCGGACATGTTTATGGGAGGAGGTGCCTGGACAAATGGATTCAGGAGAATGGTACTTGTCCAACTTGTCGGGGGAAACTGGATCTTGTGGATGATGTCGCTGGAAATCCACAGGTTTAATTCGACGGGGGTTCGGGCTGAGTGAGTGCTGAGAGAGGGGACGCATTTTTATATTTCAAAGAAGGGGCACTGCAAGATAGAGGGCCTCAGGAGTTATGGGAGCGTTGAGCGTGTGCCGATATGGGTAACTAATGGTTAATAAACTCCACTCAACTTGCTGGATGGCAGGACGATGATTTGGTTATTTTGCTACTGTCTTATTTGTCAAGTAATAGATAGCGAAGCACAATAAATGCAAGTTATGTACCATACACTATCTCTCATGCTGAATGGCTCTTTCTTGGCGGCAAGGAGAGAAACTCCCAGAATGGGCCATGTGAATGCCCTCTTTCCGTGCCGCCCAAGGGTCTGAAGAGGAGCTGTACATAACAACAGCTGGGGATGAGGGGGTTTCTTTTCTTTTTTCTAGCTTTTGATAGTGAGGCTAGGTTTGGGATGGGGGAGGATGGGGAGGATTCGGGTCTTTCGGGTTGGGGCTGGGGATGTTGACGGGCGAGGGGACAAGAGAGGAGGAGGGGACGAAGAGGAAAGGAAATCTGGTGGACATGGGATAAGGGGAGAGAGAAGGGGAATAAATTTTGGAGACAGAGAGGGGGAAGGGCAAGAGGAAATCTGGGTGACGACATGGGACAAGGGCGGAGGTGAAAGAGGAAATCCGGAGACAGGGAGGGGCCAAAGAGTTCTGTGGATGTGTACTGCAGGTAGAGATTTTGATTTTTTTTTTAGTTGTGCCGGGGATATTTGCACCCGGCTGCTCTATAATGGCGATGATGATGATGCTGATGCTGATGCTGATGCTGATGCTGATTACTTTGTTATTTTACATTCCAACCTCCGCCGTGCTCGGCTCCCCCCTTCCGTCACTCCCACCTCTTCCTCCCCCCTCCCCTATTCTAGCCAAAAAACCACCAACTCATAATTCCTCAGCAACCCCCAATCTAGGCCTTAGTCTTAGGCACATACTCCTCCGGCCCAACCATCAACTCCGGCCTGACCAACCTATCAAACTCCTCCGCGCTCAGCGCTCCCAACTCCACAGCCGACTCCCTGAGCGTCAATCCCTTCTTATGCGCATTCTTCGCGACGCGACTAGCGGCATCATATCCAATACGCGGGTTCAGGCACGTGACAAGCATAAGAGACTCCTGCATGATCGAAGCGATCTTCTCCTCGTTAGCGGTCAGGCCAGCGACGAGGTTCTTCTCGAAGGAGCGCGAGGCGTCGGCGAGGAGACGGATGCTGTGGAGCACGTTGCGGATGATGAGGGGCTTGAAGACGTTGAGTTCGAATTGGCCGTTCATCCCACCGATGGTGGTGGCGTGGTGGTTACCCATGACCTGTGCGCAGACCATAGTCAGGGCCTCGGCTTGGGTAGGGTTGACCTTACCCGGCATGATTGAGCTTCCGGGTTCGTTCTCGGGGAGGCTGAGCTCGCCGAGGCCGCAGCGCGGGCCGGAGCCGAGGAAGCGGATGTCCTGCGCGATCTTGAAGAGGGAGGAGGCGACGGTGTTGAGAGAGCCGGAGGCTTGGACGAGGGCGTCGTGGGCGGCGAGGGCTTCGAATTTGTTGGGGGCGGTGGAGAAGTGCTTTCCGGTCATCTTTGTGACTTCCGCGGCGATGGCCTCGGCGAAGCCCTTGTAGGTGTTGATTCCCGTCCCGACAGCGGTTCCACCCTGTGCGAGGAGGCGCAGGTCAGGCAACGAGGACTGGATGCGCGCGAGGCCGTAGTCGAGCTGTGCGACGTAGCCGGAGAATTCCTGCGCGAGGGTGAGGGGCGTGGCGTCCTGGAGATGGGTGCGTCCGATCTTGATGATTTTCTTGGCCTCGAATTCGACGACCTTGGCTTGGAGGGCGTCGCGGAGGGAGCGGATGGCGGGGAGGAGCTCCTCTTCGATCTCGAGGACGGCGGCGATGTGCATCACGGTCGGGAAGGTGTCGTTGGAGGAGGCGGACATGTTGACGTGGTCGTTGGGGTGGACGGGCTTTTTGGAGCCCATGGTGCCGCCGAGGATCTCGATGGCGCGGTTGGAGATCACCTCGTTGGCGTTCATGTTCGATTGCGTGCCGGAGCCGGTCTGCCACACGACGAGGGGGAAGTGGTCGAGGAGCTTGAGGTCGGCTACCTCAGCAGCGGCTTGCTGGATGGCTTTGCCAATCGTCGGGTCTGTGTTCAGCATCGTTAGTAGAGTCCCGAGTAAGTGTAGATGTAGCCCACGTACCAAGCCCGAACTGCATGTTGACTGTCGCCGCAGCGCCCTTCAGGATACCGAACGCCCTCACAATAGGCGGGGGCATGCGATCCTGAGGCTGGTTGATCCTGAAGTTCTCGAGGGAACGCTCAGTCTGAGCGCCCCAGTACTTGTCCGCGGGGACGTGAACCTCGCCGAAGGCATCGGTCTCAGCCCTGGTCTCTGCCATGGCGCGTGTCGAAACGGTGAAAGATCTGTACGACGGTATCGAGCGGATATGGGCTCGCGAAATGGATGAAGAGAGAGAAGATGTCGTCGGCCGAGAGAAAGTGCTCAGCTTGGCAGCATTGAGGAGTGAGGGGTAGGTCACCCTCGTCGATGCCCTGGCAAGTAGAGCTGCGGGCGCGGCGCTAGCTGATGCCGACCGTAACGTGATCATATTTTATTTCTGGCGGTTTGTCGCGGCCCAAACAATGTGAGAAGAAGCGCAAGAAATGGAGAAAGACGCGGCGGAAATGCGAAATTGAAGAGTAGAGAGTGACGGTGCGAGGTACTGCGACGGGCGCTCTGGGGATATTAAAACAGGTGTAAATGGGGATAATTGGAGAAGGAAAGGGAGAGTTTCGCCGGAGCTCCAACTTTTTTTTTTGTCGGGGTTCATCGGAAGCAATTTGCCAAGATCCCCAACGTCCCCCCCAACAGCGGATACGACGGCCGGGATGAGCCGGAACGTGCGGCCGCCAGCCATCCGGAGTAGTCATTATCCATTATCAAAATTCTCACTTGGAGAAATTAGCGACCAGTCACCCTACTGTCAGTTACGAAAACATCAACTGTATTATTCGTTCATTGCTCTTAAGTAGTAATCTCACTAGAGCAGGTTAGTCCGTTCTTGCAAATATGTTAGGTACTACACACTCTCTAAGGGTGTTTCATCTACTTAGGAGTATAACTCTTAACTTTAGTCACTTAAACTCTTTAATGTTATTATATACTAGGCACTTAAACACTTATTAGGGTTCTAGGCTCATTAAGTATAATTATAGAGGTATTATCTATATGTATGTCTTTCTTATATAGCTATCTACTAAGTAAGATTTAGAGAGTTAAGAATAATTAGATGTAGTAAACTTATCTAGTTATTAGTATCTATCTATCTTATAAGGGAAGAGGTACTACTTACTTCTTATAACTATAGCTAGGTATATAACCATTATAAGACATAGGTATATAGTAGGAGTTATAAAATATTCGTGTGTTTAACATGACGTATGTCACGTGACCTACGACTAATCACGTGCTTACGTGACTTCACGGCAGGCTGCTTATAAACCGGCGTCGTACGCGACAATACTCGTAGTGGCAAAAGTAGTATAGATAGAGGAGTAGCAGAGGAGTAGTAGAGGAAGTAGAGGTCAGTACTGTAAGCTAAGAGGGCGAGAGGGAAAGAGACACCGCCCTACCACGATTACCGTCGGTAGCGTCGTAGCGTCGCAGCATCAATCTGGTATACGGTAACGATGGCCGCCTCACAATCCCTGTCGCGAGACGTCAAGAGTCTCGGCACCCCCAATCGAAACCTCGCCGGGCCTCAACCACGCGCCGCCCACCAGCAAAAAATCGTAAGTGCCTGTTTCAATTGCTGGCCCGTGTAAGTCTGGCCTGGCCTCCCATCAATGACCCAAGTGGGGTGCGTCGTAGCGCTTCGCCGAGTTTTGCGTTGCTTGTCGCCGGCCTTCGTCTTTCCCATTCTGTTTCTTCTCCTTCCATCTGTCTATCCTTCGAGAGGTGTGTTTTTCCAGAGATCGCAGCGCGAGGCTCATTTTCAATTCTTGCTCTTATTCTTTTTTGTTTAATTTTGCGGGATAGAGAGTTTGTGTGCCTGCATCTTTCTCTATTCTTTTCGATTCTTAGACGCCGGTCGTCAATACGAAGAAGAGGTACTTGCTAGAGACGATTCGAAGCCCTCCGGCGAAGGATATACCACCGGTCAACAATTCCAACGACGACATAAACCATGGCGAACAGAGTCCTCTTGGCCTTTTTGGCCTTTGACATGCTCTTCCTCCTCTCAGCGGCACTACTCATCGCCTTCCCCATGATAATGAAAGACCGCATGAATCGTGCGCCAACACAGGAAACAGTTGCTGAGAACCTCTTGCTGGAACGATGTCCCCTGACCGGTTCGTCAACCCCTCTATGCCCATACATTAGTAGATTGTAGCTCACATATGAATGTCGCAGCTGCCATGGTCAACGCCATCATCATGTTCATCACATTCCTGACGACCATCCCCGCGCTCCTGATGCCGACTTCGCGCATGTGGCTCAAGCTTCACGGATACCTCGTTTTCATCTGCGCGATGGTCTCGATGGTCATTGGACTCGTGCTCTGGTTCGACACATTGAAGACTCGCTCCAACCTCTCCACTGTGTGGGCTGCCCAGGCGCAAGAGGTGCAGAGTTTGTTGCAGCAGAAGGTGAGATAGATACAGGCAAAGTATGCGTGGAAGTTTACTAACACAGACTAGTTGAAATGCTGTGGCTACTTGAGTAGCAATTCGCCGCCATTTTTTCAGGATAGCGTCTGCACGAACCCGCTGGTTGCGGCGCAGCTCTCGGGATGTGTTGGGCCGTTCAGCACGTTGGCAAATAACTTCTTGGATCTGATTTTCACTGCCGCCTTTGGCGTTGTCGGTATGTTCTCCTATCCTATCATACGGTGGCTCGAGTCATTGCTAACATGTGTGGTGTTATTAGGTATCGATGTAGCCTTAATCCTGTGTATCGCCATGCTCCTGAAGGATAGGAAAGAGAAGGAGAGGTATCGCCACATCGATGAGAAGTCGGGGACAGCAGGATTCTAAGCACAAATTTCGAGGCTGGAACGATACAAATTTTCTACATAACGAAGTACGCATTCCATATGTAACCTACACATCTTCGTCGGCATTTTAGAGACTGGAAAGGGGATATAAATACAAGGCTCCAGGGTAGCCATCTGAATTGAAGGCTTCTCGTAAATTTTGAAGTTTAAATAAAGAAGAAATTAGAGATATCTATTGAGCATCTTGTGAAAAGTGATATCAATTGTCTCATCGCCGATCTAATCTACCCAAAAGTCCGAAGAGAGCCTGTGCTATTATGCATAGTTCACAGTAACTGAGCCGCCTAAAAGTCGGGGGAGGGATTGTGCCATTATGCATAGTATATATGTATATATTAACTGTAAGTAAAACAAACGATCTTAATCACTTAAATAATAATAATTTCTAGGATAGGTTACAGCCATCTCTACAATTAACTGCATTCGTACATACCCATGTCACGACCTTAAAAATAGTTAACATGTCAGTTGGTTCTTTGTGCTTAATTCGAATTAAAACATAGAAGTTCTGACATTCGGTAGGCTAGTACTCATATGTATGTATGTTCGCCCATTCGAATATGCATAGCTATAATTTAATCGATTATATGGAGCATAGAGAATTGATACGACTCTCTCAGCGGCCACAAAAGAGATGGCCGCGAGGGGCACTGTAAGTGTGAAGTGACAGCAAGAGTTGAACAACAGCAAGACTTGGGAGACCACAAATATTCCCCAATTCCATGAGAATTATAAATCATAACCCATAATTATAGGTACATATACATTGATCTATCGAATCAGTCGCTTTTAGCGCTATTGTGAATTTATTCGAGTGGATTTATGACGCTATTCACGTAATAATGGTCATGGTAAGATGTCGGAGCAAAAGAAGTTTGAAGCTTATATTCTCAGCGATTTGTGTCATGTACCGGTTTAGAAATTGCATATAATCTACATTGTGCCAAAGTAAAGTCTTTCATCGATCGATATTATCTATATTTCCTCCCTCCATCCACCCTCTAAAGCGCCAGTTTTACAATCCCTGAATCCCCACAGCACTTGTGGAAGAGCTGGACGAAAACGCCAACCAAACCCTCAGCTCCATTTAACCTCTATCGTACTTGCTCTTTGGGTCTTCGTAGTAGTGTGCCATCTCGAGTCCCGCCCGCTTGAATCCGCACTTGACGTAGAACCCCTCGTTCGCCTCGCTGCAATCAAGAATGCTCTTGTAGCAGCCCACCTTGGCCGCGATGAAATCGAGGGCTTGGATGAGCTTGAGTCCGAGCTTCTTGCCCTGCTGGTCCTTCGCAACGGCGATGTCCTCGATGTGGCCGACAAGACCAAGGTTGTGGATGCTGGGATGGGGTTAGCGAATATTCATTCCCAGGGAGAGTAGGGCACTTACAACTTCCGCTCAACAATCAAAGCACCGGTTCCTACTATCCTGCCTTGGTCTTCGATGACGAGGAGGAAGTATCCGCCATTGCCTTGTGTGTCCATCCAGTCGTACCTCTCATTCCATTGCTCCTCCGTTATGTCTCCCACCGTTGTGAGGACGCGCAAGCAGTCGAGGAAGCCACGGGCGAAGTCGCCCTTCTCCAGTGCGCGAATGGTATATGATTCTGGGAGCGATGCAGCAATTGTGGGAGAGATGAGGTCGGTGGAGAAGAGCCCCGCGTAGTTCTTTGTGGCGAGCATGTTGTGTCAATGGCCGACAGGAAGTCGGACTTGTGAATGTTGTTGAGGATCGAGGCTGTGAGGGGTTGTAGGAAATCAGATGTTGGAAACGAATGACTGTGACGATTGCTACGCCTGGGTCAGTACGAACGTAGTTGTGATAGTGGGCAGTCAGGTAACATACAGTCAATTGAGATGCAAAGGGGTATTTATGTTGTTGACGATCTCATTGTAGGAGAATGTCTCTAAAGATCCTGGGGGGCTGAGGCCTATGCTAGTGGTCTCTCCCGCGAACAAGCAGCCTCGCGCCCAGACTTTATTTATTTTTAGATATGTGAATACGAGTCACGTGAAATGGACTCGAGCGAACAGGTTATTTGGTGGCTCAAAAGTGTGAAGAGGGGGATTCATATAGCTCAGGATTAATACTAGCATATTAAACTGACAGAGGTTATCTCTTCAGTTCCATTCTTCAGTAGCTGGCTTACTGACTGTAGCCCTGAGTGATTGAACAACTTGAACATAAATTATAGTTGCTGTGTTAACCGTACCTATGTACAGCCCCTCTTGAGACTTCTGGGCGGCACAAGTACTGATCCTGTTCACAGTAGAGAGGAAAGACTCTATATTAAGGGTTTATATTATAATATTTTCGTGAGTCCCTTCACTAAATTCCACGACATACTGCATGGAACTAGAGTAACCACTGTGACCATTAATTGCTTGTTTCCTTCTGTGGTTCGGTCCATTGGTGGGATGTACGCGGGGGTCTTTCGCGTACCTGGCATTGATCTTGGCCCTACGCATGAATCTTATCGCCGTGCGTTATCAGCAGCTTTCACATGCTAGGGGTGGTATGTCATGGGGTCTATAACGCTGTACTCCAACCAAATGTTCCCATCGTTGCGTCAGGTATGGGAAAGTTCTCACTAACATTCCCACCAAACTCCTCGACTTGTTGACGTGTATGGTGGGCCTTCATAGTTGCCCCCAACAATTATATAGCTACCACTATTATTTCTTGGCCAGCGCCACCAGACATGAACCCAAATATATCTCACTTATTCAATAAGAACCTGTTCAACTTAACATACTACGCGTTGTTTGACACTACCTTACCTTTGTCACCAGTTTCAGACGCCATTTATTGCTATGAAGCAGGATGAGGACGAGGCGACCTCAAGTCTTGCCAATATACCGCGAATGGAAGAAACCTCGACGGTCTTACCGAAGCCGGTAGCAAGTGCCATCAGTCTTGCCACCAAGTCATCAGCCTTATACCTTCGCCTCGGAACACTTGTGGGCAAACTTGCCATCGATGGAGCGCGTGTTACCACGGTCACAGGCCTGGAGCTGAGCCGCGCCGTGGTTGAGCGCATACTGTTCAGTGCCGGTGAAGATGTTGTGAAGAAGAGCACTGGTCAAATAGGGCGACAGGAGGCCGAGGGGTTACTCGAGCGGAGCATCTCAAGGCTTCACTCGACGATAACACACATATCATTCGCAGCATCTGCCGGCTTTCACCTATCTTCAGCGGGCCTTTCGGCGGCATCAGACGTATCACAGCACCTGTTGATAACACTCGACTCGATATTCGGTTCGACCGACTCCTCTCGTGCTATCGCGAGCATTATCACACTTGTGCGGAGGGAGTTCCAGAATCCAGCTACAGGACAACCAGGTGAAAAAGTAGGAGTGGTGGATTTACTGGTTGGAGTGTGTGGCCTTGCTCTACTTCAGCAATGGTGTAAGAAGTCGAGCGAGCAAGAAGCTCAAGATGGCCACTATAAAGATATCGTATGGGATGTTGTCATCCTCGATGACGGTAGCCGTGCCGACACGGGAGAACCTTGGCTCATAACTGCTGCCGACGCTGGGCAAGGAATACAAGACAACAATACACGAGACCTTGCTGTAGAGGACGACGGAGATGGACCCGAGGCTCGCCTGCGAGAACGCATTATGCAATCGTTGCCTCCAGATGCCACCGTATCAATAACCACCGAAACAACCACGACGAAGGTGACGACTGTAGAGATCAGTGGTGCCCAACCTCTTGACCTCTTGCCACCTCCTGGGGCCGAAGTGATTGAAGAGAATGCCCACCATTTTAACAACGGAGATTTCGCCGACAGTCATAATGCCTCTCACCCGCAATCTCGATACCGTGTTGTCTACCGCACCGTCCATAACAAAATTCGTGGCACAGATATCGCAGCAAAGGATGGACCGGATACTTCATTTACTCAGGCAAAAGTGGAAGAACTTCCCGATACACCAGCAGATATGGATTGGCAACCCGAGGACGTCGAACCACTTCTGATGGAGCACTCGCCTAGCAACACAGCAAATTCCAAGAGAGCCAGGCAGTCACATAACACATCGTCTCACCAGACCCAAGGTGGCTCAAGCCGTCCTTCCACCCGCACGTCGGAATCAACAAGCAAAATGCCACTGGCGAAGAAAGCAAAAGTTGATACACCGAATAAAAAGGGTACCGAGAAGAAGGGGACATTACGTGATGCTCTCCGGAAGGGGCCACAGGCAACCATTTCCAATATACTGGGTAAAGACACCCAGGTTGCCGCTACCTCGTCTTCGACGAAACCGAATCCACCCTGGCAGATGTCTGGCGTTGCTGGGTCTAGCAAACGACCTGAATCCAAGCCGGTGAGGCCACCACACCTTCCAGTGCCGGATCGAGGTTCAAGTAGTATGCGGACAAGAAGCGGACCCCTTGTTCCGAAGTCTACTTCTCGACAGCCGGTAGATGAAGTACAATATAGCCATCCAAAACCCCACTCAAGATCTCATTCCCGCGCAAGCTATTATGAGGTACACGAAAGACGCCGGGACTCCATAGTATCTCAGACAGATACCTACTCCATACACTCGACTGATACTTCCCGGGCTTCGTCGCCGACACAGTTGAGGTCACACATGAGAAACCAAAGCAGTTTGATGCGTACTCGCTCTGGTAAAGATTTGAACATTATCCCTTCATCATACCAACGACACTCGAAAACTCCCGAGCCTTCGCCATTATTTGCTCATCGAAGCACAAATTCGTATGATCCCAGCATCTATACGCTGAAAACGAACAATTCGGAAACGTCACTAGTGTTGGCTCATCTCAGCAAAGGTGCCTTTGACGATGAAGAATCCGTGCAGCTATTGAGAAGAAACGGCTCGGTCCCGGGCCTCTTCCCTCGCAATCATTTGGTGCGGAATATCAGTCGATTCGCTCGGTTCGCGTCTGCTTCTTACGGCTCGAATTTCATGAGACTCATGGGGATATCTGCTACCCCTACGAGCAGCTCAGCAATTCCAGATTCGTCCCATCATTACGAGCACCATTCGTTCAGTTCCCACACGCAACTTCCGTCATCTACAATTCTACTCAGCTCCTTTGTGGACCCCCAGGGAGGCACAGATGCTGCGGGAAAAACAGGGACCAGCATCCCTCTTGTGCACTTTATATCATTGGACCATGAGTCTCAAGCCGTTGTATTATCGTGCCGGGGTACGTTGGGTTTCGAAGATGTTCTGACAGATATGACATGTGACTACGATGACATGCATCTCCGCAATAGGAGCTACAGAGTCCACAAGGGAATCTATGCTTCTGCCCGCCGCCTTATTTCCGGGGCCGAGTCACGCGTTCTAGCCACCATAGCAGCTGCCCTCGAAGAATTTCCAACATATGGGCTGGTGATGTGTGGACACAGTCTTGGAGGCGGCGTGGTTTCCCTACTCGCGATAATGTTGGCCACCCCTGGATCAGACCCAGAACACAACGCATTCGTGACAACAACAGGGCCACCCCAATCCGGCCTACCTCTCACATCCTCTCCAAACACAACCGACGCACCTCCACAGGCAATATCTCTCCCAGCCGGCCGTCCCATCCACGTCTATGCCTACGGCCCACCCGCCACCCTCTCGCCGTCCCTCCGCCGCCTCACTCGTGGTCTTATAACCACAATCGTCAACAAAAACGACCTCGTCCCCTCCCTCTCTCTTGGTGTCCTACACGACCTCCAAGCTGTCGCCCTAGCCTTCAAGGCCGACTCCACGGGCGCCGCGTCACGCGTGCGCGCCCGCGTCTGGAACAGCCTTTCCAGCGGTTTGATGGAGCAGTGGTATCGCGGAGACTATGTACACGGCTCTGGGCCGAGCGAGGAGGACGACCAGTGGGCGTGGGCGACGCTCAAGACGCTGCGGGCGAGCATGCAGAGCGAGAAGCTGGTTCCCCCTGGGGAAGTGTTCCAGGTTGAAACGACGGCAGTGTTAAGGCGAGATGCGTTTACGGTGGATGGAAAGGATGGATTGGGGAGGCCGGCGACGAGGGCTGTGTTGAGGTATGTGAGAGATGTGGAGGCGGTGTTTGGGGAGGTGCAGTTTGGGGGCGGGATGTTGGGGGATCACAGTCCGGGGAGGTATGAGAATTCTTTGAAGACTTTGGGAAAGGGTGTTTTGGGGGGGTTGAGATAGGCGATCTGTGGGATCTTTTGGAGACATGTATTCACGATTTTATATACCATATAGATTTCATACTTGTAATGTACATTCTATCTTTCCTTATTGCTACAACCCGCATCTGGAGGCATACCCCCCACTTTGGCCTGTCACTAGTGAATGTCTCAGGCCGACGACCCTGACTTGATATGGACAATAAGTCCGCCCACAGAAAAACAAACGTGGGAAATTTTGGCCATGGCAACTCAACCGTCAAGATAGCATGAAGCGGCAAATATAGTCAATGCAATGACTCCTCTTTGTAATGAAGGTATGTTCGTGGTGAACATAGGTAGGGCGGAACAGCCCATGACAGGAAAGTGTGTGTTGAGGAAAGAGCAATATATGGAATGACAGCCACCATTCTACTAGTACTGTCAATCTATCTCATAAACCCCACCATTAATTTGCAAATACTACATGGCTTCGGGGCTTTGGGCCACTTTCGAGAAAGCGCCCAAGTGAGAAATGGGAAGAGGAACGGTGGAATATTAATTCAAGGCCGAGAAAATGAGGACCAGAGACACTATTTAAACAGCAGTGATCGTTGTTGAATAGTCCATAATAATAAGTTTGATACTTGGTAGAAAATAACGCCACGATCATTTGCCTGTCTCGTGATACCAACAGTCGGTGCATGAAACAGTTTGGCGCGGCCAGGCGTTTATACGCTTCCCTTGTATGTACTACTGTCTTGGCGCCTCATTCTCGATCCGCATTTGCAGTATCACATAACGACTCGGACAACCACCAGGGGAGCTCACGCAATGATCCGCAGCACGTATTCACAATTACCATGAATCTCATAGCCACCCGACAACTCTCCGCGAGGGTGTGCCATCAGCCAGTCTCCCCACCACCAGGGCCGCCGCAGCCTCGCCGCCATGGCCTCGCCCGCAAACTCGATTCCCGACACCTCGCTCGGCCTGACAGCCGATGAGATCCAGGTGCTACGGCGCGCGCAGATCGAAGCCGCCAACGCTGCAGCCGGGTCGTCGTCATCGCGCGCCGCGTCGCGCGCGTCGTCCCAGGGGTTGCTGCTCCTCAACACGTCCTCGCTCACGTCACTGTCGCGACATTTCGACCGCCTGATGCAGCAGATCTCGGAGCGGCTAGATTACCTCTCCGAGCAGTCGCAGGTTGTCGCGCAGCAGCAGTACGATAGGGCGGGGAACGCGATTGAGATTGCGGATGCGGAGATCGAGCGCCTCAACAACATACTCAGACAGATCGACGAGCTGGAAGACGATTTTGATAGGATGGCGCGGCTCAAGGATATCGTGAAGACATTTAGGGCGAGGGTGGAGGAGGTGGAGAGACGAGTGGAAGAAAGTACGGCGTCGCGCCGGGATGGGGGCGGTCACAGGCATCGACATCGACATGGGGAGACGACAGGGTCGAGGAGCCACAGGCGATGAGATTACATGGCCGGTCTGCCCATACTGTGATATTAGTTGCAATGGGACAGACCGCAGAAAGGCCTTGGTCCATCAGCTATCCTCGGACAGCGTGATCTGCATGGATATAAATGGGCGATGCGAGAGGACCGCCTCGCGGCGACATAGGTTTGGGAAGACAAGGAACGCCTCACGGCTCACACATGATATTTTCCTATTTGGGCGGCCTCCTTTCTTGCACAGCTTGGTTTGGGTGGGGTTGATTGCTGGGGGGTTATGAGCATAGCATCGATACCCAAAAAGTGTGGTGTTTCTGGCACTGCTCCTTTGCACAGATATATTGGAGTGGGATATCTGCGGTCTACAAATGTGTTATGACGATTATAAGAAACGCACGCTCACGAATAATGTAGAAAATTTATTATTATAGCTCAACTGATCCGCGATTTAATTCACTGGGCCAAAAATTAATATATGTGGCCGTTTTCAACGTGCATCGTTTCAAGCCACAGTCCACTACAACAGGTGAGACTAGAGTCTCAAAAATAAAGAACCGTTCTCAGTGCCTATTCTCCCCGAGGGAGGAGCTAGAGCCTCAAAAATAAATAACCGTCTCCAGTACCTATTTTCCCTGAGCTTTTCCTTAGTAATTGAGGAGGAGATAGAACACTACAATTCTGTTTATGAGACCCTTCCGAGGCTAATCACTCAGAATGTGCTTCAGCCGAAAAGAGTCCAGCATGGCGAGGGTACATGGCAGCCAGGACAGAGGACGAATAGATTTACGCCCTCCGAGCTGCTGCTCCGGAGGCGGGGGACTTGTTGGAGCTTCGCTCGTTGACCAAGGGATTGCACCTATTTGCTGTAATTACTCTGCTACCGTCATTGCTCTCTTTCTGCTATTACTTACTTTCTGTCGTTGCTCACATGCTGCCACGGCCTCAACTGACGGCATGTGCCAGTCAACCAGCAAGGTTTTCACAGCTTTTGGAGTGGCGACCCGGAGTACACGAATCCATTCCGCGTGGTCTCATTGAAGCGGTTTGCATGAATTAACGGAGAATAAATTCAGAATGGACGGGAGAGAAGCGGTTTATATCACAGTTGATACTTGCATGAATAGCGTCATTGAAATACAGAAACAGACTTGAATGCATTTCCCAAGTGATAGCAATGCATTGTAAGAGACTACCACGGCGAGGAATGGGCACGGTGACCTTGGTCGAAGTATGAACCTACTGCGTTCTATAATACTGCATCGTGCACCCGGGCCCTGGGTATGGACGTTAACACGTCACTTTTCACTCAACAACGACATTCAAACACTGAAGATGAACCAATTACATTCACATATTAAAAATGAAACGGCATCATTCACAGACATAGATCACAGCAGACATAAGTTATGAAAAGCATGTCATTGTATCTAAGCTAAAAAGAAACAACCCGACTGCTATTCCACCGGCTAACCCAACCCATGTCATTCATCATCATTTCCGTTTTCGAGTCAAATGAGAATCTATTTCTTGGCACCAGCCTTGACAGCGGCCTTGGTGACCTTACCAGCCTTGTCGGACTTCTGTAATGGGGATTAGTAGCTATTCAAGTATGGGATCAAGGGGGTAGACTTACGACAACGGACTTGATAACACCGACGGCGACGGTCTGACGCATATCACGGACGGCGAAACGTCCAAGAGGAGGGTAGTCGGTGAAGGCCTCCACGCACATGGGCTTGGAAGGAATCATCTTGACGATGGCGGCATCACCAGACTTGACGAACTTGGGGGAGTCCTCCATGGACTTTCCGGTACGGCGATCAATCTTCTCGAGGAGCTCAGAGAACTTGCAGGCAATGTGGGCGGTGTGGCAATCCAAGACTGGGGCGTAACCGGCACCGATCTGACCAGGGTGGTTCAGGACAATGACCTGGGCGTTGAAAGACTCGGCTCCCTTGGGGGGGTCGTTCTTGGAGTCACCAGCAACGTTACCACGACGGATCTCCTTGACGGAGACGTTCTTGACGTTGAAGCCAACGTTGTCACCGGGGACACCCTCAACAAGCTGCTCGTGGTGCATCTCGACGGACTTGACTTCGGTGGTGACACCAGCGGGGGCGAAGGTGACGACCATGCCTGGTTTGGAATTAGTAAAGAGTAAATAGTAACCACGTGATTTATAACATACCGGCCTTGATGATACCGGTCTCGACACGGCCGACTGGCACCGTGCCAATACCGCCAATCTTGTAGACATCCTGGAGAGGAAGGCGGAGGGGCTTGTCAGTTGGGCGGGACGGGGGGTCGATGCCGTCAATGGCCTCGAGAAGAGTCTTTCCGGACTTCTTTCCCTCCTTGGTCTCCTTCTCCCAACCCTTGTACCATGGGCAGTTGGTGGAAACATCAATCATGTTGTCACCGTTGAAACCGGAGATGGGGACGAAGGCAATGGACTTGGGGTTGTATCCGACCTTCTTGATGAAGTTGGTGGTCTCCTTGATGATCTCGTTGAAGCGGGCCTCGGACCACTTGGTGGTGTCCATCTTGTTGATGGCAACGATGATCTGCCTAACACCAAGGGTGTAGGCGAGCAGAGCGTGCTCACGGGTCTGGCCATCCTTGGAGATACCAGCCTCGAACTCACCAGTGCCGGCGGCAATGATGAGAATGGCGCAATCAGCCTGGGAAGTACCAGTAATCATGTTCTTGATGAAATCACGGTGACCGGGAGCATCTGGAATAATTGTTAGTCGGCGGCAAAGCAAGCTGCGGCTTTGATGAACTTACCAATGACGGTGACGTAGTACTTGGGGGTCTCGAACTTCCAGAGAGCGATATCGATGGTGATACCACGCTCACGCTCGGCCTTTAGCTTGTCAAGAACCCATGCGTACTTGAAAGAACCCTTGCCCAACTCGGCGGCTTCCTGTCATAATTGTTAGACATTGAACCGATAAATAAAAATAATTTGCGACAATCAAAAGCGTTTTCGACGACCGTTATTTTGTTGTGTTGGTGTCGTTGTTGTCGTAGCGAGGTGGTGGTGGGGGTGGTGCGTGGACGCTCGGGCGCAATATTTTGAAACACGAATGTGTGATTGTGCGAGGGTTTACCCCACCGAGGGGTAATAACAGTCGCCGACGCCAAAATCGATACAAATCAAGAAAAATGAAGCTTACCTTCTCAAACTTCTCGATGGTACGCTTGTCAATTCCACCGCACTTGTAGATCAAGTGACCTGCGTTGTATGTCAGTATATACACCAGCGGTGAGGATTGTACGATGTATGCTTACCGGTGGTGGTGGACTTTCCGGAATCGACGTGGCCGATAACGACGACGTTGATGTGAAGCTTCTCCTTACTATAGAGCACACAGCAGTCAGTATATTGTTTTCCATGAAGCTTTTGATCGATCTTTGTCGAAAATGTTCGGTGAAGGATCTGACGTACCCCATGGTTGCGGTTGTGTGAGCTGAAAATTAAGTGTTGTTTTGATTCAGTGAATCTGAAGAAGAGGAATAAAGTCAGCTTGCTGTTCTTCTCTTGGTCGTTATACATGAAGATGAGAGATGGATGAAGGATATAACTTACTGCCAGGTTGAATGCTTGATTCGGGTATGGCAGACGATTCGAAAAAAATCAGAACGAAGAAGAAAAAGAAGAGCGAGGAGGTTTTTGAAGAGGGGGAGGAAAGTTGGTGGGGCAATCCTCTCAGGCTCTGTAGCTACGCTAAGCCGAAAAGAAGTAGCGCAATCGCTAGTTGAATCTAGCCGAACCAATGAACAAGATTTTAAACGGAGTTTAGGTGGCGGTTGCGGTATAGGCTAAGCCTTTTCCTGTTGATTTCGGGCTCAGATGAGTCTTATCGGGCAATGAGGTCAGGCCACCGCACGTGATATTGTATATTTTGACGGTAAACAATTGAGGGGTAAAAATCTGTATGGAGATCTGGACAGACGTAGCTACATGGAAAGGCTGACAACAAGGCAGAAGGAGGGAACAAGCACAGTAAACAATAAACAGTAGCACATAATAAATGAAGATATATCGACTCTGTTTCTATTTTGCCGCCTGTATAGAGCTGTGCCCATCGCCTGCCCAATGCAGATTTTTTTTGGGAGGGGTTGCCTAGCATTTCTCCCCCCACCTGCAAGCTTTTTTTTTTTGCAGACCAAACTTTCCCATGACCCAACCCTGTTTTTCTGGCAGAGTCATTTTGTGACCCTGAATCATGAATCTTCAGCGAGCCTTTTGAAGATATGGTCATCTGTCTCTAGGGCAACAGAATTATCTGGGACCGGCATATAATGTTATGCCACTCGTCGTGTGCGCGGAGCGTTGAGTGGAGCTTCATTTTTTAACACACGCCGGCTTGCCCGTATAGGGAGGCAGACCCCTCTTCATAGCTAGTAATGCAAATTCTGGAGCCTCAGATGCAAGCCTGAACCTGTCCATCCAGTCTTCAGCCCTGCCCGCCCTTCAATTCCAAGTCTCACCGTATGACGAAGGCTGGCTGGTAACAAATAACTAACCTGTCACTTCATCCGTTGATCATTCACTCGGCTTCAGACATTATGCATAGCTTGTACGTACAACGGTTACATATCTTACATCTAATCACCACGCTTGCAGAATCCAACGCCATGCATGCCAAGCGCCCAGAAAATGCTACATACAGTACAGGGCCCATGGCCAAACCCGCATCCCCATATTCCCGTTATCTTCCCGCTCGTCGATTAGCTCCCTTGCTCCACCTGGACGTCTCTGAAAGGCCCCTGAACCCAAAGCGTCTCCATTCTATATAATTACACAGTCGCCAGTTCGCAGTCGCTGGCTCCATAAATGCTTGCTCACCATGCCGTATCGTCATTCTCATCTTCGAAGCTGATGTCCCTATCGAAATATTTGAATTGCTGCGGCGTGCTTGTACGATTTGGTCCGGTGTATTGCACCGATGGTATATACTCGTACCCGACCAGTGAATCTGGACTCCGTGGGGGCTTCAACTCGTTCGACTCAGTCCTCCGCGCCACAGGTTTATCAAGACCCTCAAGGGTGTCGACGAGAGCATATGCAGACTTGATATAATCCACAGTGAGTTCTTGGTTCAAGGCACGCTCACTCTTGCCGGCTACCACTTCACTCGATTTCTTGTACTTCGGAAGTAGAGTGAGTTCGCCGCAGCGCCCGTCTGCTTTCCCGCTGTTGACGCTTGAATATCGGAGACGCCAGTCTCGGAAATCGTAGCTGATCTGGGTTCGGTACGTAAGGCCCGCGAACATATACCGAACCGCGGTCGATGCACTGCTGGCGGCCCCCTTGTCACCCTTCAGACTGGACATGAAATCGGGGATTGGCACGACGAGCTCAGGAGGCGTCATGACATTGGAACGTTGCCCCAGCTGCGACGCTTCGAGGAACTCAGCAATCTGCGGGTGTGCCTCTAGATTCGCGGCAATGAATGGGAATGACGTTTTCTGTCTGAAACGGATATCAAGTGCCTTGTCGGGAAGCATAACGTCACTACAGATATCCTCTGTAATGGCCACCATATTGGACAGTTTGAACCTGTTCTCCGCCGTGCTTGTCATGCTGAACATCATCTCGAGAGTTGGGAACTTGCTCAGCTGCTTCATATTCTCACCTGCCCAGGGCGACGGGAGGAACTTCATGGTAAGAACTGAAGAGGTGCGCGTGTGTCTGTCATTGCCCATCCCACTAACCAAGCGTGACAAATTCTTTGTTGAAGGAGCGAACAGAGTGCGGCTGTTCAAAATCTCCTTTCCGTCAAACTGCACTGGCTTAGATACATCGACGGGCCCAGAGCTTGGGAGGGCTTGGTGGAGAACATTGCCAACAGTTGCCGATGTCGACGTAATTGGGGTTGTGCTCCAGAGATTGGATTCCTGCAACTCATATTGCCTCGCCTTTTCTTCGTCCACCTTATTCGCTCTGTGGTGAGGTGACATGGATAAATTCCCCAAGGCGTTATGTTCGGCCTGGCTTGTCAAACCCTGCTCCTCTTCTTTTGGGGGCAGATCCAACTCTTTCTTATCACCTTCCTCAATGCCAAGTGCCTCTTCTGAATCGACTTTTTCAATGGGAGTTTGCCATCTTGACCAACGACGAAGTCTATTGCGCCAAGACATGGTGTGGTGGTATTCGTAATCAATGGCATAGGCTGGACTGTCTGTTTCTTTGAATCCATGTCTGTAGACGGTGCGATCCGCCACATCTGACGAGGATAGTAATAAACGTCTCGCAGCATCAGCACTTGTAGACAAACTGGAGCCTTGTTTGCGGCCTAAACCATGGACCCCAAGCTGTATCTTGTTAGATATCAAACTCAAGCAGGAGTTTGCACGGACTTACCTTGTCTTTCGAAGCTCTCAGAACTTCTGTATTTGTGAGCCTCGCGAGCTCGGCCAAGACAGGCTCGCCAAACTCATCGGCTTCTTCTACTCCCTGTACCTTCCGCCCAGGTTTCTTGAGACCGGTTAACGGAACTTCAATCCTATGCACTCCTTCCAAAGTTGACCTAATACCCTCCGCAATAATCTTGGCCTTGGCCTTTGTAGCGGTGACGCGGATTGCGCGTCTCGAGCGAAATATTTCGATCTTTTCTTCGTCGGCCCGAATGAGTTCGTCGCTGATTGTTTGAAGCGGAGGATCAGACCGTCCCTCTGCACAGTATTAGCAACAATAGACAAAAGTTTGACAAGTGCTACTTACTTGGAGATAGTAGAAGATCGAGATCGGCGCTATTAACCTGCAGCTCCATTTCACCAACTGAGGACACCAACTCTTGTGATTCTACGCCCCAACACAGCCGTATAATATTCAAGGCGACGCGCTGTTTTGGCGTGAATGCCTCGGATATATAGCCACGTAGAGAGCTTTCATCAAAGTGATCCCCTTGGTCGGACGTCCCAGGCATCCATGGTGACTGTCTGAGTATGATGTTCTGAGCCTTTATCTCCACCGCTTGGCCGACCGGCTGACCAGTCTCTGCCTTCTCCTCCACGGCCTTGCCAGTTTGTGTAACTGAGGCGGCACTTTCAGCCAGTGCAGCCATCCTCTGCCTCTCAGTTGTCTCGATGTAATATATTAGTTGTGCCATTGTGAAGCCATCGCTCAATTGGTCTTCGATAACCCGAATATCCGTCCACGGCAAAACCTTTTCCTGCGGTTTAAGAGTTTCGATATTATCGTTGACTTCGTCACGTCCAATCAGTCCCCTCTCACTGTTGAATTCTGCCAATATGTCCACCACCGGCGCCTCAATCGTCGTCTGGAATGGTAGTGGCGCGACGTACCGCAGAGTCCCGGAATCTTGAAGCACAATAACTTCCGCAGGCTTCCCCAGAGAGTCGACCCCCAGCATTTTCGTGTTTTCTCTCAGCTGGGTCGAGTTGACACCGTACATCCGGTCCAGGGGAAGTGCAGAGAGTCGTTTCTCAGGGTCAAATCGGTAGACGAATTCTGGTTCGCCGTTTGGCACAGACGAAGAGGTTCTGGTCGCCGAACCATGGTTGTCTGGCTTGCTCTCAGATTCGGCATTGTGTTCTTCTGCTTCTTTCTTTGGCGAATCCTCATGCGCCTGTGCTATTCGTGAAGTCGCATGGAGGTTGCGGCCTCGAAACCCTCCAAATGGTCCAGGAGTCGAAGCTCGAGGTCGCTTGGCGCGAAGCTGCCCGGAAAGATACAGCTGGCATCGTAAGCAAACCTCTGAGCTTGGTTTCGTCCGTATTATCATAAAGGCGGTTTCGCAAGTTGCAATACTGTTGATTGATAGCTGCTTGGTCCAATAATTTGGATATTCTCGAGGATCCGGAATATTGGTTTCTCCGCAGATTTGCCAAGACATATGCCAAACCCCCCCTGATCGTCGTCACCAAAAATGTATCACTGTCGAACATGCATCAAGATATTGTTCTTTATAGAATGAACTATAGACATTCATCATAGCACATTGAAAAATAATCATTGGGGTGAGAGAAGAGTATGGTCATTATTGCACATTGAAATCACAATCATCAAGGGGAGGAGATTATGATCATTATTGAATTGACTGCCTGACCCATGGGTATATAATTGCCGTTGCGCCGTGCAGAAACCGAGAGCGCCACCGGCCGAATGTAGAATCCATCCCATGCGCCGTTAATAAGCCGAGAGCGTCGCCGATCAAATATAAAATCCACCGCACCGTGAAAAAGTTGAGAGCGCCACTGATCAAATGTATAGTACAGCGGCCATGCTGTGAAAAAATTGAGAGCGCCATTGCGCGATCGCATGTGCCGTGAGGAAGTCGAGAGCACCACCGCTCAAACATATGATACAACGGCCATGCTGTAAGAAGTTGAGGGCGATCGCATGTGCCATGAAGAAATTGAAAGTGCCGCCGATGGAATTCAGAAACCATCGCGCGTGCCGTGAAGAAAGTCGAGAGAAGTCGCATGTGCCTCGAGGAAGTTGAGAGCATCAAATGTGGAACCCTTCGTAATCTTTACTCAAGCATAAAAAAACGGCCTATCTTCACACCGTTCGGCATGGTAACAGATGGGGTGGTCCTTATCGAAAATTAGACATTAATAAATGGAAAAGACTAAGGTTGAAACTTACCCAGTATTTTTGTATGAAAGCCGCCAAATCAAACAGCAAGCTCCTCCAATAGCAAAACTACCAAGGGCAACCCAAACAATGGGGCTGAACACCCCAATTCTGCGGAAGATTCGTCTGACCCAGTTGACAAAAAGCTGAGTTTCGATCTCGGCAATAGCATCTTCTGCTTGTCGCTGTTCTATAGCGTCCATCGAAGGTCGTATGGCGTTGCGTAAAATTGGTGTCATCTCAATAGCGCCAACTGGTTGAGACATTGAGGCGGGTTTTGAATCACTTTGTCCTTGGGTTTCTTGACTTTCTTCCGAATGTTGCGACACGGGTGAGTATTGGTGTTTTGTGTTGTAAGATGGTAAGAATGCCATTATGGAGAGAGTTATTATGTTTCAACTTGTAGATTGTAAATGAATGGAGGAAGGTACGTTTGTGCCAAAGGTGAAATAACGGGTGACTATGATTTCACGTGACCTCAGCCATGAGACCAGTCCAGAGTGGTCGCATGTGATAAAATGGTGTCCTGGATCAGGCTGTGGCGTGTTCGGGATGATGTTTCTTCAGGAGCTTCCTCAAGACGATGTTCTTGTCACCCTTCAAAGTCTCCCAGGAGCGCAAGAACTCCGCAGCATTCTCCTCTGTCATCTCCGCCGCTCTCTCCCTGGCGTACTGGTTGCGCTCGCGTTCGATCGCGAGGCGCTTCTGGACGCGCTCGACCATCTCGACGAGATGGTCGTTTTCTTTCTCGAGGTCCTCGGCCAACCAGATGAGGTTGTACCTCGGCTCGTCGACGGCGATCGACAGCCACTGGGGGTGGCAGCCCCCAGTCCCCACGCAGACCCCCTTGAAGTACTCCGGGGAGACATCAACATGGAAGTCGGGATTGGTGTGCTCCCCAATCACCCCCGACTTCCATGCCGCATCTCCCTCGGGAGTTGCCATGAATCTTTCGATCCAATTGGCCGAGACCGACAGGCGCGGATCGAACCCGCAGATCGTCCGAGCAGTCCCCTTGCCCGATTTGCCCTTGGCGCGCTTGGGGGCGCTCTCGACGATCTGGTTCTCCTCCGCATACGCCTTCGTCGTCTCGTCAGAGTACTTGACGAGCATGGCGACCAGCTTCCGGCGGTTCTCGTAGTGCGCCATGGAAGCTGTGAGCCTCGCGATGTTTTTGTGGCAACGATCTCGAAGGTTGGTATCCAACGAGAACATCCCCTCCTCATTGAGAGGGGGACCAGTTGCCACAAAATCACCGCGAAGCTCACCACCACCATGGTGAGCTCCAAGAACCGCACGGGTTGGCTGGTCGCCAGCCGTCTTCAAGGCGCCAAGCGGGGTCTGCGCCATGAAGGAGCGCAACTGGGAAGCCAGAAGACGGTCCATTCCGCCAACGGTTCGCGCCCAGAACTCGTTGCGGTGCTCCAAGCTGCAATACTTGGAGGCGACCGTCTTCATGACCTCATCGTCACCCACAAAACTCTCGCGAGTTGTGTGGGGACGGTTGCACCCCTCCAGGCGGCAGACCCGCTTGTAGGTCGTCGCTCCCGGGCAGTCATCGCAGATGAACTTGGCCACGCCGTCTGTGTCAGCGCACTCCAGCTTGACACACGAGACGTGAAACCAATTCTCACATCCGCCTTCACATGCGATCATCTTCGTGCCATGTCTGACCTGCTTGCACACGCAGTAATCAGCCTTGCCTTTTTGCTTTTTGGCCTGGGACGACATGTTTTCGTGAGAATGATCGATCTTCGCTTTGCTTGAGTGAGGTTGAGCGGCGATCTCGGAACCGAGTGAAGAAGATTGATGTGCGCTGGTCGTAGAATTGACCTTGGTTGAAGACAGTTTGCGGGCGTTGTTTGAATCTTTCTTTGACGACGAAGGTTGCTCTGCGCTGGACTTTGGTTTGACCCTGGACGAAGACGAAGATTGTTTGTTGGCGATCTTTGGACCGCTCTTTGAGGGATTTTTTTTGTTTGTGACTGTCTTGGGATTGCGCTCGTGAGCCTTATCGGATTTGTCCTCGGGAGAAGGAGGCTGCTGTTCACGGTTCTTGGACTTGGCCTTGGACGATGACTGACTGTGGGCGTTCTTTGGGTCGTTCTTGAACGAGGAAGCTTTCTCTGTATCGATCGTAAAGTTGTCCTTGAACGATGACTGCTCGTGGGTGTCGTTGGAATTGTTCTGTGGGACAGGAGAACAACTGCCTAAGAAGCTTGCTCTAGTTGCTTGAAATCCTTGATCTGAATTGGTTCTGGTGGGCGGAGAACGTGGAGTCTGGGCAAGGAGCTGGGGATCGATCTGGAGATCAAAAGAATAATTGCCTGAATTGGTGGTTCCTGGTGCTTGAAATCCTTGGTTCAGATCGGGTCTGTTGGAGGAATGAAGTGCTTCGTATTCACGGAGCTGATGATCGATCGGGGGCTCAGAATGGTAATTGTCTGGGGTATTGGCTCCCGGTGCTTGAAATTCTTGGTTTGGATCGGGTTCCCTGGAGAAATAAAGTGCTTCGTATTCACGGAGCTGATGATCAACCGGGGGTTCGGAAGAATAATCGCCTGCGGTGCTGGCGCTCTGTGCTTGAAATCCTTCGTTTTGATTGAATCGAGGTGGGTGCTGTTGACCGATCTGGAGTTCACCGATCTGGGAATTGTTCTGGTGATGAGAAGAGTGATCGCTGAAGGTGCTGAATCTCGATGCTTGGGATCCTTGGTTTGGATCGAATCTGCCGGGACGAGGTGGGTACTGTTCACCGGCCTGGGATTCACCGATCTGGGAATTGTTCTGGGGAGCAGGATAACAATTGCCTTGTTCGTAGTGGTAGCCTCCTGGTGCTTGATATTCTTGGGCTTGACTGGTTCGGGCGGGAGGAGATGGTTGCTGTGCAACAATGTTTGAATTGTCCGTGAATGGTGACGGCTCTGGGGCGCTGCTTGAATTGTTTCTGGGGGCAGCGGGGTGCTTGTTGTGGACTCTGCCAAGGTGCGCAGGATATGTTGTGTAGTTTGAACTATCTCTGTGACCAGAGTATAGATTGTTGAAGGGGGTACGAAGGTTCGATGTATCCTCTCTGTAAGCTTGATTGTGTGCACCTGGATTGAACAAAGGTTGTTGTGGAAGGGTCCTCGAGTTGACCTGGGAAGAGGAGGGCGGTGGTTGTTTGTGATCTTCCTCGGGGTCTTCTTCGTCAGAAGGATCAGAATACGTGCCTTTAAATCTGGTAGGTCGGGCAATATTCCGAAGAATGCGCTGACGTTTCTTGTTGTGATGATCGCTGTTCTTGCTCTTCTTGTTCTTACGGTCGTATCCACGAGGAGGAAAGTATGGTTGTTGTTCAGAGGTCTGGTTCGAATTGTTTTCGCCAGAAGATGAAGGTGAATTTGGTTGTTTTCGCTTGCGTGGGCGTTTCTTGACCAACTTGTTCACGCTTGACGAATTACCACGTGGAGGAGGTGGTGGGGGAGGTGGAGGAGGAGGAGGAAGCGGGGGGAAATCCTCAGGTTGGGCGGGGCCAGGTACACCTTGACCACGAGAAAATAGTTTATCTCTCAGTCTCTCCTCAGCTACCTCTCGAGTACGGTGATGGTATCGGCGGCTATCCAGCGACTTCTCCTTGTTGCTGCCAAGCTGCTTGTAAACCGTGCTGTCGGCACTGTTGAAGCACTTCTTCCACTCCTCTTGGTCGACTCCGTCAGGGCGCGGGAAAGCTTCTTTCTGTTGGTACTTCTCGCTCTTGATATGTTTGGTGGCGAGTTGGTACTGGAAGCTGGCCTCGGTGTAGTGGAAACCAAACTTCGACGTGTGGTTGAATTCGGCGAAGGAAGCTGGGGGATTGGAGATTATTTTGTCCTCGTCGCGGGGCAAGGCTGGGTCGCCGGCTGGGTCGCCGGCGCCGTCGCTAGCGTCCCCATCGGCGCTAGACATGATTCGGGCGGAAAATAATTTCTCCGATGAGCACTAGTCCAGGTCAGCCACACCAGAACGCGGTGGGATTTGGGCGCTTAATCTACAGAAGGACGCTAAGATTGTCACATACCTTATCGAAGCAAAGATGGTTGAGGTCGTGATTGCAATTCAACTGATGATAGCACAAAGCACAAAGGATGATTCGACAAAGGTTCAAAATAAATTTCTATGAAGGGGCAAACTGTGTGCGCCTTATAGGCGACGTTAGCGCGTATGCTCCTAGGCGCTAGTACTAATCCAAGGCTTCTATAGATTCTACAGCATATACCTAGGCAATTAGGTTTAGTGTCTAAGCATTGCCGCGTGACCCGAGGCGCTAAGCCTTTTTCTAAAGCACGCTAGTCCTTTCTCATAGCACCGCTAGGAGATCACGTTTCTTAAGGAAGCACGTGGCATAGCATTACGGATTATTCTAAGCCCCGAGGCGGTGCGGTGTGTTTTTTTTCTTTATTAGGACTTTCTTTAGATTGTGCAGTGTGTTTTCTGTCTTTATTGGGTTTCTTTAGATTGTTACAGGGTGTAGGGGAGGTGCATGGGAAACTCCCGAAATGCCATGCGTGAGCCGCCGTAAGCGACCTGACATCCCAGTAGTCCCCTGGTCCCTCCCATCCCTGCACGGTGACGTGCAGAATAGCCGCCTGCCAAGAGATGAGCCCTTGCAGGTATATGCGCAAAAAAACAAACTATCGTATATTACTTTTGTAGTCTAGTTGGACGTCTGTTGTAGTGTAGAGAAATTATTTATTCTTTGATATCTATTTCCTATGGCATATGGTTGTGTGTGAGAGTTGAGCAGATGTACGGTGGTGGTAGTATTACTATGTGCGCAAAATGTTTATATTTCTAGGAATATACGGTTGGTTGTTGGAGCTGAGTTGTAAGATGGAAAGAACATTGATATGTGTTCAAGATATTTATATTCTGAAGAATATCCGGCTAAGTGGGAGTTGAGTGTAAGGGAAAGGCAAAAATATGTTTGAAGCAAGTATTATATTTATATTCCTGGGAAGAAATAATTAAGTGTAGGAGCCTGACAAATATAAATCCAAACCAACAGTAGTACGTACGGGAGAATATATGTTTGTAGGAATATATGCTTGAGTCTAGGCATCGTCAACCAGAAATACCTTGGAAGCGTCAACAGAATACGGCGTCACGTACGTATGAATACCTCATACAGCCTGGACAGATGTCACATCACAGCCGGCACATAACTCTACACCTTGTAACTATCAACAGTATCATCATTGGTATCATGCTAAACTGCATATTCAGAAAGCCCACCACCACATGCACCATCACCCCCCCCAACCATCACTCAATAATCCACAATCTTCACCGCCTCCTGCACATTCCCCGGCAAATCCTCCAACCTCACCAATCCCAGCGCCACACAATCCCCCCAAAAGAACATAGCCCGATCCTGCGCATACGCCACATAATCAAACTCATCATCCTCCTTATCCTCTCCCTCCACACTGCCTCCCTCCTCGCTGTCCCCCTCCTCATCCTCACCATTAACCATACCCTCACCACCATCCTCCAAATCCAACTTCTCCATCCCCCCTACCTCCCCGTCAGGCGCATCAGCACTCGGCGTCCGACAGGCAGTATCATACTCCTCCAACTCCGGGATATTCGCCTGCACAATCCCCCACGCAACCCACTGCGCCGAATTAGCGACTCTCCACCAGCGGGCCTCAACCATCAACTCCTCAACCCTCCGCTCCACATCCGCGATCCTCCTCTGCTCCTCCTCCGCATAACCCCCCGGCACTGCGTCCCCCCCCGGCGGCCCGCGCGAATCCAACATAAACGCCGAGATCCCCGCATTCCCCGGTCCAGGGCTGGGGACGACCTTGGGTGTCGCGGAGGCGGAAGAGAAGCCCGAGAATTGCGGGCGGTGGTTGAGGTAGGCGCGGATGAAGCGGCGTTGTTCGGCGGGGGTGGGGAAGGATTTGGTGTTGCAGATGTAGGGGGTGGAGGGGTCGTGGTAGTTGTAGCACCATTCCGTGAAGTGGTTTGCGAATTCGAGGCCGGGGGTGTTGCCGGAGGCGTATTCGAAGTCGATTACCACGAGTTGTTTGTGGGTGTTGGCGGGGAGGAGGAGGGGGGATTCGGTGGTGGGGAGGAGGCGGAGGATGTTGCCGTATTGGGTCTGTGGGGGGGGGTGGTTAGTTTTGGGTTGGACAGACTTTAGGATGATAGAAGAGAGATGATGATAGAAAGAGATGAAAGAGGATAAACAAGAAAAACTCACATCATTATGCGCAAACACCAACTTCTCCCTCAACCCCGCCACCCCCCCATACTTCTCATTCAACCACCCCCTATACCTCTCCACCATCCCCCTAAACACCGACCACTCCACCCCACAAACCAACCCCCTCTCCCTCCACGCCGGCACCTTCTTCCCCCCCCCAGTATCCGGATGCGTATCCAGGAAACTAATAACATGCTCACATCTCTCCACCCACTTATCCCAATTCCTCCACACAAACGGCCCCTCATCCCTCTCCGTCTCCAGCAGCTCAATCCCATCATGCAACTCCCGCATACGTTTCGCGATCTGCTTCGACGTCTCCGGATCGCGGAGATCCTTGGGCGTCAGGGTAGTAGACATGAAGTACTCCTCAAACCTCCCATTCCGAAACGTCCCCAACAGTCTCGGCCCGATCTTCTTGCGCGCAAGTCGGCTCAGAATCCCTAACTCGGCGTCGCGGTCGATGAGATGCTCGACCTGCGGGCCGTAGATGCGGAGGAGGAGTTTGGAGGGTCGGGCTTTCGATTTACTAGCCGGATCGGAGGGGAGGGTGGAGGGTGGGGAGACGACGTAAACTGCGTTTGTGAGTGCGCCGCTCAGGCGCTCGACTTCGAGATCTGCGCCGCTGTCGAGGGGGACGCGACGCCATCCCTTCAGACGGAGTGTGTGTGCCAGTCTTAAGATCTCGGATTTGAAAGTAACCCACACCGCGGCCTCTTTGTCGGCGCGGCGGCCGGAGGTGGTGGGTGTTGTTGTGCCGGAGGGGTGGGTGAGGGTTTTGGAGTTGTCGAGGACGACGTCGCAGCTGGGGACTATGACGTCGCCGTCAAAGTACTCTGTGTCAGAGGAGGCATTGGTGGAGTAGCGGCGGGATGTGTATTTGCGCGATGAGTAGGAGGGTCGGCGAGGGCGGAGGACTGGGCTCTCTGGGTTGGGGCGGTAGGTGGATTTGACTTTACTGTCTTCGAGGATCGATTGCAGGTCCTCGAGGGAGATGGTGCTCAGGCACGAGTCCTGCGATTCTCTGCGAGCGGTGGTGGAGCGGTTATTCTCGTTCCCCCTTCCTCCATCTTCGCGCGGGTGAGCCTTATGCTTCCTCGCCTTCCTCGCGGCCTTCTTAGCCTTCTGGACATGCAACCACTCCGAGACCTGGCTGAGGAGTTTATCATGCTGATGATGATGTTTATGTCTCTGAATATACGGCGCATTCCCCGACGAGCTCTCCCCCGACTGACTCATAGCCAGCCTCGGGATATCCTCCTGGCTCGCCTGGCTGAGGAGGGAGTTCTTCGACGAGTTGCTGAAGGAGGATGGCGTCGGGCGGCCGGTGAGTCGCTTGCCTACGCCGGCGGTGAATTGTTTTAGGGGCGGTGTGTCGAGCGGTTGCATGGGGGGGGAGAGCTTGGGCTCTTCAATGGATACGACTGTGTGTGCACCAATTCGAATTAGTATGTATGCTCCAATAATACCACTTCCACACGATAAGACAACAAAAGCAATAGATAGTGCCCGTGCAAACAGAAACCCCACACAGTCGGTCTCGTGCCCGATTGCCCGATCTCGCTCGCTCACTCACTCGCTCCCTTACATGGGGGAAAGGGCTAGATTGTGCGGATTTTTTGGAGGGGGGGGCGTGACATACCCTTCGTAGGCCCGCTCTTGGGGCTTACCCCGCCATCGTCGCCTCGGATGGCCATGACCATGGCAGGCCGGAGCGGCCTCTGGCTTCCTCCTCCTCCTTCGTGGCTGTTGCTTCTGGTGGTGCTGCCATAGTCACCGACGCCGCCGGGTTTTCGGTCTGCGTCTTGTGGCGGCGCCGCATTCCTGTCTGTCATCTCCTCACTCACACCGCCCGCGTTGGAAGGAGTGGAATAAAATGGAGCTATGGAAACGAACGTAGTCCCGCTTTCGGAATTGGGCGTGTGCTTCTTTTATTTCTCAAGTTTGTGTGTAGATTTTTTATTTTTGGGGGTTGCTCAGATCGAAAGAAAAGAAAGTAAGCAAATTGACAATAACCAAGCTCAGAAAGTTGTTAGGAAATAACCAAGCGTATGGGCCAAGTTTCCCCAAAATTATGACCTGGCACGTTTTTAAAATCTTGGGGATTGGGACCTCTCGGGAATCAAGATCATGTGGGGTTCTCATAGGTTGACATGACGTCCCTTACCATCGTCGAGCTTGGCACACACCACAAGGAGCACCCACCAACAAAAAAGCACTAACCAACCAACCAGGATAGCGGTACATTCCGCCCTGGCAGTGGGAGGGGGTTGTTCCTTATCAGGATTATCAGTCTTTTCGTATCTTGGCCCATGTAAGTGTGCATATTACGGTATTAATAGGTATTTTGAGATTATCACCTTGCGGGTTTGAATATTTGAGTAGCTAGCTTAAAAAATAAGGGGTTTGTACTATAGTTGGGGTACACAAGAGGGATGAGGTCACACATCTGGTAGAAGAGTGAGTATATTATAATTTCCCTAAACACTGCTTTGCTGCTGCTACTAAACCACGTATTTCGTGTAACCAAAAAAACTAAAGTACACCTACAATAAAGGGGTATCCATTTTATTCCCATACCAGCCTTTCATTGCTTCTTCCTACCCCGTAGTCATCCCCCTAGACCTATTTTTGCTTTTGATCTATTGACCGAACAAAGGTACCCCACACCATGCAAAAAGTCAGAACAAAGGCAAACTCACTCAGCCCCGTAATCACCCTTCAAGTACTCATAGGCTTCGCCCACTCCACAACCTCAAGCGCACACATGACCAACATGAGCGTCGACGGCAAAATCCTGTAAAACCAATTAGTTTGACTTCTCCACAAAGAGAGAGAGAGAGAAAGAGCGGGGGGATCAACATACCAAATAACATAGCTCTGAAACAAGATCTTACTCATAACCGCCTCATAAACGCCATTAATCTGGCAAATCTGCGCCAACTGTAGCGCGCTCGGCGCGCCCGTAAGTAAGAAACACACGATAATAAAGATCGGATCATCCACAATGCTAATCGGCAGGTACTTGGCCATCATCGCCAGAAACGGCGCCATGATCAAGGTAGGCAGGAGCATGCGGCTGATCAGCGACGCGACGAGCAGCTTCGTCCCGATCTGGTTCTCCTCGCTGTCCGCCTCCAGTGCGGTCTGGGGGAGGGTGTTGCGGGCGAGGTTGGCGCCGAGGACGACGAGGATGAGCGGGACGGCGACGCCGCCGGATTGGGTGATGGCGCGGGTGACGGAGTTGGCGACGAAGGAGTCTTCTTGGAAGAAGAGGCGTTGGAGGGAGGGGATGGTGGCGACGATGCCGGCGAGGAGCATGGCCCAGAGGGGGGGGTTCATGAATTCCCAGAGGCCGTTGCCGAAGCGCGCGGAGACTCGGTAGAATTTGGTGAGGACCCTCTGGATGGGGTATGGGAGGGTGTTGAATAAACTCCTGAAGACGGCGTTGATCCTTGATGAGACAAAGTTTGCGCCACGCTTCGATTGAAGTCTGATAATCGTTGCCAATCCTCGGATGCCATCGGGGATGTGCTGCTCTCTGATTTGTTGTTGCCTGATGGTTGGGAACGACGTAAGGCTGTTGCTCAGCTGTTCAGCATGTAGAATGCTGTCAACTTCTGGTGCCGTCGATGAGGAGTTTAAGCGCTTCCTTCCATCATTATCATACTCGTCATCGGGAAGGATATAATGCGTGTTGGTAACAGGCGTTATACCACCCGAGTCGAACGATGTCGAGGAGTGGCTCTGGCGCAAAGTATCCTTGTACGCATCGGTATCTGAATCATCAGCATCCAAGCCTGGGATCAAGAGGTCGCTGTCATCATCATCTCTGTATCTCCCCTCCTCCGCAGCCTCCGCATCTTCAATCTCCGGCCGATCCGGCGGGGCCAGCAGAACATGGTATCCCCAACTCCATCTTACCAGCTGCCCAAGCTGCTGGAAGATGAGCAAGTAAAGAATGCCGCGCGCCGAGACCTCGTCGTCATTGTCCCCCGGTATCCTGTCCCAGTGTAGCCCATTCAAGGTCTGTGACAGAGAGATGACGAGGGATATAGGCAGGGAGTTTGAGTTTCCAAAAACTCCCATTGCGGTGACGAAATTCGCAGGACGCTTAGCCAGACCGAAAGCTTTGGAGACTCCAATGGAGACCAGGTATGATACGAGAGTTTGTAGGGCGAAGATCACTGGGATCACAGCAAGGTCGGCAAGAGTGTCGGCCGTCAGCTGAGAGGCAAGTTTCGTGAAGACTGGAGATTTCAGTCAGTAATGGCTTCGAAAGTATCATCGAGGATCAGGTGGCAACTCACTCAGACAAGGCGTGAACAGCATAACATTCAAGTTAGCCACAAACTTCTGCTGCTCCGCATTAAACATGCCCTGCCTGGCAATGATATAACCCGGCACGCTGACGCATACGACCTCCAGGACCGCCTCGAAGACGAGGAGGATAAGGCGCCCGAGATCCGGATGCGCCTCATGGCTCATCACGACAGGCTGCTGGAGACCGTCGAAGGCGTGGGCCGTGAAGGACCTGCCAACGATGGAGGCGACGCCATTATTGCCATTTGCGAGTCTGAATGATGTGGGTGTGGTGAAGAAGGCCATTAAGGGTCGCCGGCCAGAGCGACTCAGGGAGGTGTGAGCTTCAGTATAGTCCTATAGTTCTCGAGAGTGCGTGCTCGTTGTGCTCGTTGCTGACAAGGGATTGTATTTGTCGTTTCTGGTTTTGCGCGGAGAAAGCGGATGATGGGGGAAAGAAGCGTAGACAGGGTCGAGGACAAGGCAATTCGTGTTTAGGTTTTCGGTGGTGGTGCGGGTAGGTGGACTAGGTGGGATGGTGAGGTGAGAGGGTTTGTTGTAAATGTGTGTTGGGTTGGGCGACACAAGCTCAGCTCGCCATCCGGGCGTGGAATTGTGTGAGGTTTTACCTGGTGTCGCACGGCGCACGGCGCACAGTGACGCGGTCTAGGAGGCGTTGGTTCCCGGTCTGCCACCCGCCTGGCTGATCTCTTGTGGTGCCAAGGTATCTTTGAGGCACCGCCCCGATGCGACGATTCGATGGTTCTAGATATCGGACGTTTGTTTTTTTGGGGGTGTGGGATGATCACGGATTAGCGTGTAGATTACAGGAGGTTCAGGTACAGCGATTTAATAGTTTATTATAGGAGGTTATAAGAAGGAGAGATGGCAGAATAGTGAGGGTTTTTATTAGGGATTTGGAGACAATTGCTGTGAATCTGATACTCCAAATGTGTGTGTTCCGTTTCTTGTTTCAACTTCTGGATCACCGTAACCAAAAGCACGTTGTACCACTTTGCACCACTCAAACCAGGTTAAGTGGTAAAAGTAGAGTGGGAGTTAGTGAGAGTAGTGAGAGTAGACTGGGTACGTACAGACAAAGTTGCCAGTGCAGCGTCTGTGCACCGTTGAGCTACCATCGCACAAAGTACAGCATCTCCTCAGTAAGTTCAGTTAGGGAGCGTGTGCTGGATTGACTGGATGAGAGCCGCCGAATGCCTCCAAAAGGTCGTGGGGGATTGGACGGGAAGATGGAGCGAGGAATGGGGGGCAAACCACCAAACGAACCACCAACAAACCACCCAAAGAAACCCAAGAAACCCAAGAAACCGCACATCAGTCATCGTCCAAGGCGGCACCAAACAGCCAGCAGGCAACGCTTGGAAGCCGCTAACTGCAACGGTTTGCTACTGCGTCTTGGGAGGAGATAAGGCAGTGCAGCCGATCTCTGCCTTCTCCAATCAGAGGTGGGGAGAGGCATGAGAGGCGTGAAGGCGTGAAGAGGCGACGGGGGAAGCGAAACAATAACCAGACTTCTGGTTCTGGCTATCTGGTTTACTACTGTTTGTCGATTGAGATGATATGAGGATGGGGTGGTATAGAGACGGCAGATGCGTGCTGCTCTTCATTTCTCCTATTGGAAAAGTAGTGGAAGAATGTCCCACAGTGGCACTCAGTCGTACCCGCGTGATGTGCCCAGGGAGCCCAACACAGGTGAGTGAAGTGAGTGTGATACTTGTCACGGGTACCTATATAGGGGACATGCGTCTTTCACGTCTTCACTTCAGGACATGTGCCTAATATGCTCTAACGTGCTTATTGGATTTCTGATTTCTCAATAGTCTTCTCGATAGTAAAACAGCCCTCTCGATAGTCTTCTCAATAGTCGCAGCAGCCCTACTTTCCCATCTGTCGCGACTAACGATGCAGGCAGAGTACCATTCTTGGCCCTGCACCACCCCCTTCGATTACGCTGCTGCATCACCGCGCATCACATCCGATACTTGCACAGCTGAAGGGGCCCCAGCCACAAACAACCCGCCACACACCAGCCGCCATACCTGCCGCCCTTGAGTAGTGATGTGCGCTGCGGTTAGCATCTTAGCATCTTAGTATCTTAGTGTTAGTAGTGTTAGTAGTGTTAGTTAGCAGTATACATAACAATCTTGCCTGTAGTTTTGTGCAGACTTGCCTCCGAGGGGTATAGACTGTAGAGTATTCCGCGAGTACACATGTGCGGAATGCGATAGGAAGCTGTACGTGCCCGGAACTTCCGTACTGCAGGATTACGTGTTACGACGTTAGATAGGTACGGGCTTGCGCGCTCGAATCGTCTTTTTCTTCATATGGCAAGAGTCCATGTGTGTGGAATCCCAGTACTATCTATGGCTATCATATCCCTACTCTGTTCTATTATAGTACTGTTCTATATGCACTCTGAGTCTCAGTCTGAGTGTACTCTATCTACCGTCTACCTCTCATACGCGATCTACTCATACATCCATACATGACTACGGTAGTAAACCAAGTAGTCAGTCAAGTAGTCAGTTCTCCACAGATTAAAACCGCCGAAACTTCTGAAACACTCGAGCTAACCATTCTATGGTACAGTAGAATAAAAATCCCATACTCTACTCTACTATTACTGTGTTCTCCTGTATAGTTCAGTCCTCTTAAAACAGTACTTAGGGCCGCCTTCTTATCAACCGTCAGGCTCGAGAACAGAGTCGTATTTCTCTCTAATATAGCCCCGCAAACCCGCCCAAAACCCAACCCCGCGACAAACTCAAAAAAGTGCCTGAAATACACACACTATAGTCCTATAGTACTCTTCTGCGAAGAGACTAGGAGTACTTTTTCATCTCACAGACGCGCCCATCGTGCCCACTCCGGAAGTAGAGCCGCTTGTCGTCGCTTCGTCCAGTTTCCATATTTAGTGTCCTGCAAGACCCTCCATGCACCAAGCACCCTGAACAACTTTGAGATTCCCTCATTCCACTACAACTACCCCGCGACACCCTCAAAAACCAACACCCCCCCAACAGCCACCAAACCCCCTCAAACTCAGGAATCACAGTAGCCACGACAGGATCTGGCGCTCTGTGTCCCTCTTCTCCGGTACGTCGCAGTTTTTTCGCAGGAAAAATATGAAGTTGCATGTAACTAATGTAGCTATCCCTTCCACAGGCTGATTTCTCCCTCCCACGCGCGCGATCAGACGATTCCCCGTGTCGACACTCACCACCCATGAGGACGGTATAACCGCCTAAACACAGCATGGCACCTTCCACCGACCTGTCCGCACCAGCAGCAGACACCTCCGACTCCTCCCCCCTACCCGCCGACACCTCGAATCCCGTCTCCGCTGCCCCGAGCGGCGAGAGAATGTCCTCCATGCGCTCCATCTCCGACCCTCCACGCCATCAATCGACGATGTCGTCCTCGTCAAACCCAATCGGCGTGTTGAACAATGCGAGGAGACCTGCGGTGCGCTCGTCGATACCGGCGAGTACGGTGGCTTCGGGCGGTCTGCCGCAGGATATGCAGGCGAAGATGAGGGCTTTCCATTTGTCGCGCCAAGGGACGCCGCCGGGTGGACGACCGTCGGCTTCATCTCCGGGATCGTTTGCATCGCCGGGCGACGCGAATGGCGGGTTGGCAGGAGGACTGCGGTTGCCAATGGGTAATAGGCCACAGCTGCCTCAGGGACTTGTCTCGGCGCCTGCAGTTCCACGACAGGGCGGCAAACCGTCACTGAGCGAGCGCAGAAACATGCCGAAGTTAGGTGGATTACCGGGAAGTCCTGTTGCTCCCGCAGCGAGCCCTTCTTTGAGCCTCAACGGCAGCGCGAATCCGGCGGCGAACAAAGCTGATACGGGGTCGATGTTCAACAAGTTCTCGAACTACGTTGATACGGAGAAGGGAACGCTTCGGTTTGCGGGGAAGGCTGTTATCCATGGTCAGGGCATTGATTTCTCGAGCGGTAATAATTTCAGTATATCCCTGGACGAGGTAGATACCCTCGAGGAGCTGGGGAAGGGAAACTACGGAACGGTCTATAAGGTGCGCCACACGCGGCCACGGCAACAGAGGCTTGGGTTAGGTCTCCAGGTTCGCTCCTTAGCACCCAATGCCTTGGCTGGGGAAAACGGCGATTCCGCAGACTCGCCCCTGGCCAAGAACTCCACGGGCGTCATCATGGCAATGAAAGAAATCCGTCTCGAGCTCGACGAAGCCAAATTTGCCGCCATAATCATGGAACTCGACATCCTCCACCGCTGCGTCTCGCCCTACATCATCGATTTCTATGGCGCCTTCTTCCAGGAGGGCGCGGTGTACATCTGCATCGAGTTCATGGACGGCGGGTCGATCGATAAAATCTACGGCGACGGGGTGCCCGAGAACGTGCTCAGGAAAATCACATACGCTACTACGAAGGGGTTGAAGGAGCTGAAGGACGTGCACAATATCATTCATCGCGACGTCAAGCCGACGAATATCCTGGTCAACACGCGTGGTCAGGTGAAGATCTGCGATTTCGGCGTCTCGGGGAACCTGGTTGCTAGTATTGCGAAGACGAATATTGGGTGTCAGTCGTATATGGCGCCGGAGAGGATTTCGGGGGGTGGAGTCACGCAGGCCGGCGCGAATCCGAGTAGTGGGACGTATTCGGTGCAGTCGGATGTTTGGTCGCTGGGGTTGACTATCATTGAGTGTGCTATGGGAAGGTACCCGTATCCGCCGGAGACGTATAACAATATCTTTAGCCAGCTTTCCGTAAGTATTCTCCCTCTAACCCCTCCCTCCACTTAAACTATACCTAGATCCAATTCTAACATCACCAAAGGCAATCGTCGATGGCGAACCCCCTGACCTCCCCGCGGAGGGCTACTCCGACATAACCCGCGACTTCGTGCGCGGCTGCCTCCACAAAATCCCCAAGCTGCGTCCTACATACTCCATGCTCCTCCAACACCCCTGGCTCGCCGACCTCTCCAAGCCCGACGTCATTAGCGAGGAAGATGATGATGAGGTGGCCGAAGAAGACAGTGCTGCTGACAGCGCTGCTGACGGCGTCACCGACGGTACCACCGCCGCTTCTACAAACGGCACCACCACCACCAAATCCTCCTCCTCCACCTCTGAAGACCCCGCATACGATGACGAAGTCGCGCAATGGGTCAAATCGGCGCTTGAGAGGAAGGCGTCGGGACTGATGGGGTCTAGTGCTAAACCTGCTTTACATGCCGCACCGCTGGACAGTGTGAGCTCGCCTGCTGTGTAGATGTGTTGATGCTGGGGCTGGGCCCCAGGATTATACTGCTTTAACTCATTACCATGTATACGCTCCTCCCTTCCCTCTTCCAGGTTGGGAATTTGGAATTCGGAAGAAGGGGCTTTGAGAATCGATTAACCGCTCCCCGCACTCATCCAACTACGCATGACTAGCAAACCAAGAAACCTGGGAATACAGCAAATACAGTCTTTGAGCAGCACCGCGGTCCGGTGCACTGCACCCAGTGCATTTCGGAAATCCCGCACCAGGCCAGGACAGAAACAGCGGTGTCGCTCGAGCTCCTAGCTGTGGTTATCACAACCCCCTTGTCAGGAAGAGATGGAGACAGAAACGATCCGCTGGATGATGGGAGGGTGATCTTATCTCCTTATTCTGCAGCTCGATTGCTGAGTGCGTGCTTGGTTCATTCACGCGGCTACCCGCTGGGGTGCGGTGTGCAGATTCTTTGTTCGGGGAGTTGCACAAGGGTGGTCAACTACAAGGGGAATTATGGGTGAGGGACTGGACTATCACATAGGTGTGAGAAACGTCATGGGGGAGGTGATTGTTTCTCTAGTGGTGTGGGGTGTGAGGGTGTAGAAATTTTTGTGTATAATGTGGAGGGTGAAGATAGGAGGTGAGGAAATATGTGGTTAGATCTATGGTGCGTGTCTTTCTTTGTGTGAAATGGTGATGTGATTTTTCTGTGGTGAGTGTGTGTGGATGTGTGGATGTGGTATGTGATGGGGATATGTAAGTGGTGGTGATAGGTGATGAAAGGAGGTTTTGGTAGGTTGTTTTGGTATTTTTCTTGTTATCTTGGTATCTTCTTTGCCATTCCTTAGATTTCTTATTTTACTTTTTCCCTCCCTCTCCTTCTGGGTTAAATGGGCAAATCTCCATATTGCTACTGCAAGTTGCAGCCACCCATTGGGGGTAAGAAGAATTGCTTCCAACTCCACCCATCACCCCCATAGCAACCAACCAACCATCCCAAAGGACTGGTTGCCGGGAAAGCTTATCTTCTTTTCTACTGTTTGTCTTTCACCTTCCTCCCCCTTTATCGCCTATCAAACAAAGAGAACAATAAGCATACACACAAACGAACATTTAGCGAAATAGTGGGGCTGTTCTGCTGTTTATGAGAGGTGGAGGGGGCGCGTATATGGTGTATTTATTGGCTTTGGGGACATAGAGACGCGTGACAAAGGAGGGTCGGCTTCTTTTTGCTAGGTATGATAAGATCAATATTAAGAGGGCTTTTGTTGATGGTTTTTAGGTCTACTTTTTTACTTTCCACACAGTTGGAGGATAACATTTTGTGGGAATCAGAAAGCTTCTGCAATTTGGTGTGTTACAACTTCTGATAACTTTTGATAACTTTTCTACAACAACTTCCTAATCTGGACCAGGAGCATGAGCAGGAGCAGGGGAATATAACCCCCCCAAACCAGCAGGGGGAAGAAGAAAACAAAATATAAACCTCAACCATGACGGGTCGCCAGCTTACAAAAATGGACTTCCTAGACGACCAAGATGCTACGAGCGGAACGTATGGCCGGAGGTGCATTAGACACGAAAATGCCGGAGTATATCCCCATTATCACAGGCCGTCACAACAGCACGATTTCTCTGACATTGACTTCGACTTCTATCTGCCCGGCAACAACTGCAGCGATGGCGGGGAGACGCAGTCGTCTCCGTCTGCCGGCCATAAATGGGTTGGTATCCCCACTCAGGACGGCGGCGGAGAAACGCAGTCCTCTCTCGGCGGCCAGGAGAAGCGTGTTGTAGGTGGTGTCTCAGCCCAGCGCGGCGGCAGCGTCATCTGGGCTGGCATAAGTCCGGTGCAAACTCTCCGCCAGGAGAAAGCTCCCATGCGTGATATTCCAGGCTGCGGCACGGGAAAGACTCGCATGAGGGGTAACCCCGCTCAGGGCGGTGTCTTTAGCCAGTGGTTGGAGGAGACTATCCGCCGCGAGAAGGGTTTTGTAGGTAATATCCCTGCTCAAGGCGGCAGCAGTGCCGGTGGCAGGGAAAAGGCTCCCATAAGTGATATCCCTGCTCAGAACGGCGGCCGTAGCGGCAAGATGGGGATGCAGTCTCTCGGTGACGGAAAGGGTTGCATAATTCTGGATGATAGCGAAGAGGAGGAGGAGGAGGAAGTACAATTTCTCAGCGAGGGTAAGATAGAGCCCTTATCCCCCCCCACTCCACTCCACCCCCTTCTCGGCGTTTAACTTGTTGCACAAACTTGATTGTATAAAATTCACTCCCTTCCTACTACTATTATCTTGCGACCCACTTCCTGTCACCACTACCAACTTTCGTTCTCGCTCCCGAGCTAACAGTTTCAAGCTTCACAATCTCAGATTCCAGCTTCACCATTTCAACCTCGCACTCCAAAACCACTTCCCAGATTTGCTCAAGCTGAACTTCAAACACCAACACCTTCTCGTCTTTCTTCACAGAAGAGGAAGTTGAATTCTATTGACACTACTATTTCCCTACCACGACTCGCACCTCAGCAAAGACAGGCAAGGAGTGCACAGTCATTGAGTCGATCTAAGTGGACTTTTGGAGATCGCAGATCAACTGCTGTATCTGACAGCGCAGTTGTAGAAGCTCTTTCACCGTTTTCAACGCCAACGAATAGAAGAGACAGTATGTCGGGAAGTATTAATCGCAGAGAGGGGTATGAGATTGTCCCCATGCCGGCCAGTGCTAGGGAGATGAGTATTGGGAATGGACGTGAAGCCGTCACCAGTTCCAACAAGAAGCAAGTCTCTATTCTTAAGAACGTAAGTGCTGGCAAGTACAGTGTCAGAAGTGACGTTCTTTCTGCTTTCAAGGAGGGACTTACTCCTACCTCCAAGAACAAGGATGGTGGCAAGTTAAGTGCTAGAAGTGAAGTTGTTACTGCTGCCAAAGAGCAGACTCCTTCGACTCCCACTACCAACAGCAAGAATAGCAGCAAGCTTGGCCAGGTAATTGAAGTTATTACTGCTGCCAAAGAGCAGCCTACGCCTACTCCAAAGGCCAAGAATCGTGTCGTGAGTCAAGACTGGGAAGTCATCGAAGTTGGAACATCCACAGACCTCACTTTACCTCATCGCTCTTCCACCCAGCGAAAGCCAGTCATCGATCTGGAAGACTACGAAGTCCTGCCTCCTCTCACAGGCACTGCTTTCAACATGGCCATTCCACACGCCACCATCATCAACGACTCTGATTCAGAGGGTGATTTCGAATTCGAAATCATCAGCTCCAACACCCTCACTTCTCCCATCCTCCCCCGTCGCCGCTCAACTATCTATCCCCTCCGCAACCCACCCATCGTGCACCCTCTCTACAGCATCAGCGCCACCACCGTCTCAAACCTCGCTCTCGGCCCCGATGTCGTCGTCGAGATCTTCGATGGGGATTTCCTCAAGATCACCGATCTGATTCGCAATGTCGATACGGGCGTGGTTACTCTCCGCGGACATCGCCTCCAGCGCACCAGAGATTTGAATGGATTGCTTGCTAAGAAGCGCAATGAGTTGTGCTGGGTCACTGAGGTGGATGAGGACGATGGGCGTCCGGCTTCCGCGCAGAGTTTGGCTGAAGTGCCTGCCTCCAGCGTCACGAGAGTGCGTAAGGCACTCATCACGAATATGTCGTTCCCCGCTGCGACATACCGCAACACACCCCACCCTGGTGATCTCGAGAATGTGGAACACGAGGGCATTGTGGCCTTGAGATGGAAATATACGACTACATGGCCGAGCGCAAAGGCGCGTATCAACAATGAAAATACCTTCTGTGAGCGCGTGTTGAGACATCTCGGGGAGGGAGATACCTTGGTTGGAGAGGGCTTGAGAATCCGCGATGGGTTGGCTAGAGACCAATTCCGTGGACCGACTGTGCTGGGCGGATCTTTCATCCCTGTTGTGCGAAAGGGTGGGAAGATGGGGATGAATACCAAGTCTCCCGTTCGGGAAAATTCAACTGGATGGTTTAGACGCCTTACTGGGCCACGCAACAATAGCGTCCAGGAACTTTCTGAGCTGACGACCGGATTGTTCGATGATGATATGGTCGATCTCACGGATGAGTTTCCGAAGACGCCAACGAAATCCAGATTGAGCGCCGCAGAGACGACTCAAGAACGTATGCTTGGCCAGATCGACCTCACGATGCCTGAACTCTCATTTACCCCCTCCGATGGGACGGTTCGTGCTACCAATGCTGCGAGCAAGTTGAAAACCGCAATCAAGCGTGTTGAAGGTCAGATGTACACCTACGGCGATGCCTGTAAGTTTCTAGCCTCCCCACCCCCTTCCCCAATACCAAGAAACTCAAAACTAACATCCCCTTTCCCAGTCTGCGGAGCCGGCGGGGCAACCCGCGGCGCCCACATGGCCGGTCTCAAAGTCGTCTGGGGCTTCGATTTCAACGCCCACGCATGCGAGACCTGGCGCCTCAACTTCCCCTCCGCGAATATGTACGAAATGTCAGCCTTCGACGTCTGCGAGATCTGGGCCAAGGAAGCCAAAGCCGGCATGGCAAACCGTGCTCAGGTGGATATTCTTCACATCTCGCCGCCATGCCAGTTTTTCTCGCCAGCTCATACGATTCCCGGGAAAGATGATGATATGAATACTGCTAGTTTGCTTGCTTGTGGACGACTCCTTGCGCTAGTGAAGCCGAGAGTGGTGACGCTGGAGCAGACTTTTGGGATTGGACATGCGGAGTTTACGAGGTGGTTTAATGCGTTGATCCATCAGTTTACTGATAATGGGTATTCACTGCGTTGGAAAATCTGTCATCTCCAGGACTGGGTATGTCTTTTCTCCATTCTCCTTCCCTCCCGTTCCCATCCTCACTCCCTCAATATATATGTGTCCAAACTAACAACCCTCCCAGGGTCTCCCACAGCGCCGCCAGCGCCTCATCATCATCGCCGCCTGCCCCGGCGAGACTCTCCCCCCCCTCCCTCCCTACACCCACTCCAAGCACCCCACAGCCCTCAACGGTCTCAAACCCTACACATCCGTCAACACCCTCCTAACCTCCATCCCCCGCAACGCACCCGACCACGACCTGACCTCCTCCCTCGCCAAGCCCCTCCACGAGAGTCCCTGGGACGGAACCAGCATTGCTCCCCGCGCCATCACCACGCATGGAGGGCAGAATTACCATCCCAGCGGAACTAGGGGGTTCACGAACCGCGAGTTAGCTACGTTGCAGGGGTTTCCGGCGGGTCATAGGTTTGGCGAGAAAAACGTCAAGAAGCAGATTGGGAATGCGGTGCCGCCGAGCATTGCGGCGGTGCTGTTTGGGGCTGTGAGGAAGGCGTTGGAGGCGGCTGATGGGGTGGAGAGGGTTGTGGTTGATGTTGGGGGGGGGGTGGAGAGGGAGGTTTTTGTTGTTGATTGAGTGGGTGGTTGGGATGTGTTTCCTTTTTTTTCTTTTGTGTTTTGTGTTTTGGGAATGGGTGGAGAGGGGGTTGGGGGGTTGATTATGGGTAGATTGGGCGTTAAGGTGTTTGTTTTTGCTGTTTAGGGGTGGGTAGATTGTGGGGGAGTTGAGAGATGGTGAGTGGGGGTGGATAGATTGTGAGCTAAGGGATGAGATGACGGAGAGAGATGCCGTTTTTGGGTTATTCCAGCGGTCGAGGGTATTGGTTTTGCAGTTGACGATACTGGTTTTTTTCACAGATAGTGGCAGGCCTTGGTCTCGCATGAGAGATTCATTGACCAGTCCGATAGTCTGACGGGAAGTGGAGGGATTTGCAGTTATGGATGGATGGATGGAGGATACACTTTCTGGATCGCCTGGCAGGAGATAGATGCCTTTGGCTGTACAGTTATGATACAGATGGGCGGCGTGGTATCAGGTTTCCCATCCAGGAACTATAGATAGATAGGTAGGCAATCCTTCACTCAGAATGAGAATAGAGATGATATACATGAAGTAAAACCTTGCTGTAGGAGTACGTTTGTGACTGATATAAACCCTCATGTTCAAAAATCGTCGTATATTGTTTCGGTCGCCGTATAATCCGGGTGGACGAGCCTCAAACAACAAGAGTTCATGTTTTTAGCCCTTTCTATAGCAAATATTTCGTTTGTATTGCCGTCTTCGTGCTCTTTTGGGTTTCATTCTCTTGTTGAGAAAAGGAGGAGTATGTGGAGACGACGACGTCAATTCTATTCTCAAAAGCCCTCTACGCGGCCTCAGAGCCGTACAAAAAAGTGGTGAAAACAATACACCCATCACTGAGAAAGCACATACAAACACCCAGGCTACCAGCTGAGTAATCCCATAGGTGGGGCCCCTGAACTGCGTTGGTCCCGCGATATGTGCGAATAAGCGCGCTTAATTTATCAAACTCCCTCGATGCCCGAGTGGTTAACTACGTCATTGTCAAGCGCGCGCTAATCATATAACAGGTGTTCGCTTGCGATCGCCGGGGTCACGTGTTCGACCCCAACGGCTCATGACCGTCTCCTGTTTTCCTTTGTTTGCGATTTGATTTATGCCCCCCAATCGGGGGGGCATCTGTTGCATACATGTATATAATTATAAAAACTCAAAAATACAAAAAAAAAGTTTAAAGGTACGTAACATTCCATTCCTTGAAATCACTCGGGCATCAAACAGATTTTTTTTAGATTCAATATCTTTTTATTTTTTTGGGGTTATAGTTTAATATTTGTGAACTATGAGAACAGGATGATAGCTTCCTTTGATGGCGAGACAAAGAAGTATGTAGTTTGCTTATATCTTAAAGAAGGAATCCAGTCGATACTAAAGTTTGATAGTATAGCTATTCCAGAACTCTTTTTAATTTACACTGTCACTCAGTCCCCTTGACTGCCTTGAGTCCATCCTCGTCTCGCTCTCCCAACGGTTAACTCCAACGAACAACCCTCTCCTCTGAATTGATCTTCATCAATCCCTACTCCCATGCCTTTCCTCGTTTTGGCCCTTCTCTTGCTGCGCCGTGTTTCTGAGCTTCCAACCCGAAGCTTCCTCTCCATGGCGATCGCTGCCAGCATGTTGGTCTGGCCTCCAACTGTTGAGACTTATCGAATCTCCTCCAACCCCGCTCGTCTTGGGATGAATATCCTTTGCATGTATCGCCGTTCTGCTTTGCTGCCCAGAGCTTATATGTTCTCAAATCCAAGCATCCCTCCAAATCATATTGCTCGACCGTCGCGGCGTCAACCCCTCCCTTGCAGCCCTTCTCGGCGCCCTCATCGGCAAACCCGTAGAAATCGGCGCCAACTGCCGCCGTCTGTTCCGACGCACAACAGTGCTTTTCCTGCTCTCTCTTTGATCAGAGAGATAATTCCCTTTCAGATCGCAATACCCGCGCGGCAGAATAACCTCCATCTCCACACTCTCGGCACATAATTCCTCCGAACCCGATAGTACGTCACTGTCCGGAGTGTGGTGGGGGTGGTGCATGAATAATCGCAGCACATGAGGGAGGTGGAGCATATTGAACCGGATTTGATTGATAAAGGACGTTGAAGAAGAAATTTGTATTTCGTTCGTATTAAATTCGATATTTTGTTATCTGCCAAGAAGAGGGTTCAACAAGTTCTATATACCGCCCATCTTCCCCGCCGCCCCTGTCCCTCTCAAACCCCCCCGCGTTTCAACCCCGCCATCCTTCGAAACCGTCGAGAATCTGCTTCACCTCCGTTTCAGCTGAACCCGCAAAGCAACCATAGAAACACACCCCGTCGAAGACCACCCCCCCCCCCCCGCCTCACCAACTGCCGCAATGACTACACCCCGCGTCTTCGTCGTCCGCCACGGCGAGACGGAATGGTCCCTGAACGGGCGCCACACCGGCACCACCGAGCTCCCCCTAACCGCCAACGGCGAGAAGCGCGTCAAAGCTACCGGGCACGCCTTAATCGGGAATGACAGGCTGATCGTGCCTGGCTCGCTGCTTCACGTGTAACTCCTCCCGCCCTCCTCCCTCCCTTCTCTCCATGGCATTGGACGATAACTAACAATCGCGCGCACAGCTATGTATCACCCCGCCATCGCGCGCAGCGCACCCTCGAGCTCCTAGACATTGGATGGGCGGAGAAGCTTCCCTGGGCTGAGAAACCAGACCCAGATGTGCGGGTGCGCTGCGATGCGTCGGTGGAGATCACGGAGGATATTAGGGAGTGGGATTATGGAGATTACGAGGGTGTTACGAGCGCGGAGATCAAGAAGCAGCGCGATGAGGCTGGGCTGCCGAAGTGGGATATTTGGAGGGATGGGTGTCCGGGTGGAGAGTAAGTGGACCGAACAAGCCGACCTGGAGGGCACCCCTGGATAATGAGCTAATGAGAGTTGGACAGGTCGCCGGCGGATATCACGAATAGGTTGAATAGGCTTATCAAGGATATACGCACGAGATGGCACGCTGATGTTATTGGAACGACGGAGAATGTGCCGAAGGATGTGTTGATCGTGGCGCATGGACATATTCTGCGTGCCTTTGCGATGTTGTGGGTGGGTAAGGCGATTGAGGACGGGCCGAGTTTGTTGCTGGAGGCTGGTGGTGTTGGGACGCTGAGGTAAGTCATCTCTAAGGGGGGTTTGTTTGGTTGTTGAAGATGGTACTGACTGAGGATAGTTATGAACATCATTCGCTTGATGAGCCGGCTATTCTGCTTGGTGGAAGTTTCATGGTTGATGTTGTTGAGAATGCGCAGGAGGTGGCTGCTGAACAAAAGGCGTAAGGGATAGAGTCCTGATATATTGAGCAATCTATGACCTATACATTGAATTCACCAACGTAAATTCCCTTCATAAAACCCTCAATATACCAAACTACCATTCCACACCCCCCGCCAACACACCACCCCCATCCAACTTCCCAACCCCCATCATCCCCAAACCCACCCCCTTTCACGCCTTCGTCCCCCTCGCAATAAACACCTCCCTCCTCATCCTCTTCTCCTCCGGCCCAATCACAACCCCCTTCCCCAGCACCTTATACCCGAAATCCAACCCCACCCCCGCCTGCTCAAACAATTTCTGCACCTCCTCCTTCGAGAATCCCATATGCATCACCGTCTCCGCAACTTTCGTCTCCTCCTTCTTCTCTTCTGCCGCGCTTTCTTTCTCCCCATGACTGTGGCCGCCGTGTCCATGTCCATGGCCGTGGCCGTGGCCGTGGTCGTGACTGTGGCCATGACCACCATGTCTATGCCCATGCACATCATCGTGTGGTAAGAAATCAAGTATAACCAACGCCCCCCCCTTCTTCAATCTCTCCCCCAGCCTTCTGGCCGCTAATCCCACGTCGTCAAAATGATGAAACCCCAACCCCACAACCGCGAGATCAAACTCCCAGAACTCGCTCCCCTCAAACTCTTTCGGTCTATCCACATTTGGATCTATGAGATCCCCCACCCACGCGTGGACTTCATTTTCTTCGAGCCCCTGGTTACTCGCCGTGGTGTTGTAGGCGGCCACCATGCCGGCGGACACATCGATCCCGACCACCCTACTGCAGTGTTCAGAGAGGGCTTTGGTGATGGTGCCCGTGCCGCAGGCGTAGTCGAGGAGGGTGAAGGGGGTGGTGCTGGGGTCGGTGGGGAAGGGGGCGAGGAAGGGGAGGGAGGATTGGAGGGAGCGGGTTAGGTCGGCGAGGGTTTTGGCGTGTTTGGTGTCGTAGGTTGCTGCTTCGGTGCTTTGGGGGGGGGTAGGTGTTAGTTTTTGGAGCTTGGTTTTTTGGAGATAAGGAGTTGGGGTGAGGGGAGCAGATGGCAAGGGAAATGGGAAGAGGGGATTGGGGGGGGGGGTGTTTGGATGGAGGAGGAGGGGACGAGGATGGCTCACTCGAAGAAAGCTTTGTTTTTCCCTGCAGAGTCTGCCATGATTGATTATCTGTATCTGTATAATAGACGAGTTATTCTATCAGACTCTTGTAATTGTATTGAGGTTATAAGTTAATCGTCGTCTACCTCCCAAGGCTACTTCCGCGCGTCCCTGACCTCCATATAATTCCCCAACCCCGCACCACACCAGGCACCCGCCCGCCGGAACATCATTATTGCGAACGAATACCCCGCGCCGCCAGCACACAGAGCATCATCGAGGGCCACTTGTATGAAGCACTGGTGATCTGAGCTGAAGCCTGTCCAGACATATCAGCGCGAATCCCAATCTTCGATCGAGATAGTACTGCTTGAGCCTCCTATCCCCGCTCCCGTAACTAGCCGTCACCTTACACCATTCGTGAAAACAGCCTCAATACCCCTCAAATCCAGGGGCTTCATTCATTAACCCATCCATCACATCCCCATATCCCCATAAGCACGCACACAACCCCACTCACCAGATACGTCAAACTATCGAAAAGCGCCCAGCCGTGCGTGCGCAGTACTATTGAAAAACCACAGTAACCACTACCCCTATCACTCATCACCCATCACATCTCCCCTCCCCCTTCCCTCCCTATCACGTGCACCGCATCTATCACATCTCACCTGCATCCCCTCCTCCTCCACCGCCGTTACAACGCATCACCACCACCTCGCCTCGCTGGGCACGAATCCCATCATCCCTCGTAACGCAACGCCCGTCCCAGCGCCTGTCCGATAAGCGAGGTCGAACGCACTCACTCACTCACGTATGCACGCACACAGCCAGCCAGGCCGCCCCCAACAGTAAATGCGTCAATCACTTACTGTTTTGTGCTGGTGTTGGCGGGTGTACTGTACCCCTCGGCTGGCCGTGCGTGATGTGACGGAGGGAGTGAGCGGCGAGGGATGGGAAGGGGAAGGGACCTCACGTCACCGCTCCGCACCGCATGCATCGCGCCGGCGCAGGGACGGGGTGGTGTGGTGTGGGTTGAGCGTGGTCGGTCTGGGGAGTGTGCGGTAACAGAGTAGTAGAGTGGCGATGGTCAGTAAACGTGGAAAAAGAAGTACCGCGGCCCTACTCTACCGTGGTGTGAAAAAAAAAGGGCAAAATCTTAACCATACTATGTAATCAATATACATCACCACACCCTACCCTACACACTACGTAGCCTAAAAAACGACAAGTACCGCTACCGCCCCCTCCCTTCAGTCTGCAGGACACCGCGGACGGGTTCGGGCGATCGCCCGCGTCCTCCCAGCTCGTCGGGCGGCCTGTTTCGCGGCCGCGGACTACACTACCATCCCTCCCCTGGATAGCTGTGCTGGGGGGTGGTGGGCCAATGAGCGCGGTTGGCGGGGGATGGAGAGGGATGCGAGTGAGGTGCGTTATCGACGGATGCTGGCGGGGTGGCGAGGGGTGGTGATGGGGGTTGCGGTTGGGTGGACGGGATGGGATGGGACGGGATGGGTGGTGGATGGATGGGGGGATGGCTGTTTGCGGCGGTGGGGGCGAGGGGTGAGGGGTTGTTTGTTGGATGGATGATGCATGGTGGTGGTGGTGGTGGTGGTTTGTGTGCGGGACGGTGACGAGGGACGGCGGTGACGAGCGGTGCGTTGCGGTGCGGTGCGATGTGCAGCGCTGCGATGCCGTTTGTTGGGGATGGGATGGGAGAAGGGGGATTGGATTGGCCGTGGCTGTTCGCGGATACGATGGCACGTGTACGGTGTGCAGTACAGTGCACTCCGGTGCGGTGCGTCTCGTCTCTTCCCTTGCTTTTTACCAACTGCACCGCCGTTCGCGGCTGCCACGCATTACATTCTCTTCTCGTGACGCCCCCAATGCCCATGCCCATGCCCATGTCCATGCCCTGGCCGGCCATGCCATACTGTGGGTAGAAATCCCACAATCCCACAATCCCACTACCCCCAAGCGACCCACGGTAAAGTGACATGGAAGAAAAATGAAATGTGTTCTTCTGTTTTGGCCGGTTTGTCGGTGTCTTGTTCGTTGGGAAGGAAAATGTGACGTGGTGGGGCGGTGGGCTGTAGGCAGTGGGATGGATTAGTTTTGGGTGGAGATGGGCGAGACAGGCAGGTTTGTTTCTTGTTCATTCAGCTTGTTCGGGATCCCTGCAGCCCACGCGACGACGAGAGAGCCCCACGGTTCGGCGGTGTGACCGGGTGTTCTCTGTGTTCTGGCGATGTGATTCTTGCCATTTGACGCTCTGCCGTATCCATATCCATATCCATTCCACTCATCCCTCCCCTCCTTCCCTTCTCAACTCCTGATATCCACAACGGTTGACTGGTACGAATAGCGGCTAAGCAGAAGGGCGAAACCAATTACACACCGTATATCAAACTCTGCCCAAGCACCAGATCATCCTCTACTATGGGGCACAGAGCAGAATCTTCTCTTCCCTTCCGCTTCCCTTTCTTCTCCCCCCCAGGAATGACCCCCAAGCTTATGCACAATCCCCCATCCCATCCACGGGCGGCGCCTTCCGGCCCGCATCTGCAGGTAGTCACTCGGTCGGTCAGACAGGCAACACGAAACGACAATCCACTTCCCTCCCTCTCCCCTCCCCTCTCACTCACATCTCACACATTGTGAATGTTACAAAAAAGCAAAAAGAAGACCCGAACAGCGTAGCCACCTGACCCGCCTTTGCCCAGCGCCCAGCGCCCCGCGAAACTCACACAGCACGCACAACACAGCACAGGACAGGACAGCACAGCACAGCAGCACAACGCATCACAGCAGGCAAAAACAACACAACGCTACGCAAGTTACCGGGTGCGGGGACCCAGAGAGAGGCGGCCAGACGTGGGATTTGGAATGGGACACATAGACACACAGAGACACAGAGACAACGCTATATGCGGGATGGGGATTGGGTTGGGCTTGCCCTGCCGTGTCCGTGGGTTTGAGTTGCCGTTTGCTGCGAGTGTTCCGCTGCCTGCTCGGCTCGGCTCTCTGCTGCGTGCGACGGGTCTGCTTTGGCCCTTCCCTTCCCGCTGTTGGCTTGATGTTGTGCTGCCGTACTTTTTGCTGCACCCCCAGGATCTTTACTGCTGCTGACTGTGTATACTCGCTGTTCGTACTGGCACTCACTCACTGTAGATTTGAATCTGAGTGTCTGAGTGTCTGAGTGTGTTTGGTGGTAGGGTAGGTGACAGTGGGTAGTGGTAGGTACGGAGATACAACAAAATACTTCCCCGTTCACCCCTCAGGCACCAGGATCTGAACATCTGAACATCTGAACTCACACACCAAACTGACGCACTCGCACGCATCCGGCGGTCTGGAGGAAAAAGATCGGTACTTGTGTACAAATCGCGACTTTACCAGGATCCCCCCCAGTCACTGCAGGGATCCTGCCCCAAAAAAAAGTCCCGTACGACTCCTCAGCCTAGCCTCTCTCACCCACCGCATTCCCCCCCTACCCCCTCCCCTCGCAACCATGGTCCATCTCCGTCGGTGTGCGGGATCGCGTGCGTCCTGACCCCCCATAGGCCGGCACAGCCCGGGATGCCCCCCCTAGCCCCATCCCACCCACCAACCATACAGGCTCCGGGGATTATCGGACCCAGGCTACGGGCGGGTTCACTCGCTCGCGAGGGGAGGAGAAGACCCACTAAGTCTCCCCCTCGTACCCCCCTTCGTAGTTGTGGGGCAGAACGAAAAAACTCCCCAAGACGAAGGCGGATACAGCGATGTGACTGGGCGACAGGGGGTAGGGAGGGAGGGAGACAGGGATAAGCAGGTTCGCGGCGGCGGCGGCGCGGCTTCGTGCAGCGGGTGCGTGAGCGGGTTGGGCCTTTGACCGCCCTGCGCATGCACACTTAGTACACTGCTGCAGGCTCCGCGCGGTGGTGTGCAGTAGGATGTGCAGGGTTGGGTGGCCCGGCCCACACTAAACTGCAACGCACGCACCGTCGGATGCGGGTGCACGCATGAGATTCTGGTCACAGGACCGCTGAGAGCGGATAAGCGGCCTTTTTGGGGAGAGGGGGGGAATCACACCGCTTGCTTGTTGGCTTCGGGGTTGCCTATTCGTTGGTGTTGATGGGGGGAGATGGATGGGCACCCTTCGGGGGTTATGCCTCGTTTTTGGGCAGAAGGGGAGGGGGAGGGAGGGGGAGGTATCTTTGTGATGGGTAGTGTGTACTTTAACTCTTTGGGCTGTGGTTTGGAGGGAGGGGAGGGATTTGGGGTATTTGGGCATGGATGGATGGCCTGGGGATGGATGGGATGGGGGATAAATGGAGACCACAGTGCTGGACGGACGGGGATGGAGGAATTGGAGAAATGGAGAAAAAACATGGGAGAGATTGGTAAACTGTAACAGTACCACGGCAAGCCCACTGCCACTTAAATCTGGCACTGTCCTCGATCCGGCGCACTCTCTGCGGAGCCCAGATTACAGTACCATCCATCCGTCGTCGCGACGGTTTGTGTTTGTGTGGTTGTGTGGTATTGGCACTGCGTCAGAGGGGGAGTCCAGACTTTCGGCGACGGGCTGGCATCGGGAGTTTCCTTTCCACAACCCAAGGGCAAGTCGCAACGACATCAAGATACACCGCACTCACCCTCTCTACAGTGAAGTGCAGTACGCCCGCCCTATCCCTTCCGTCAGCATCCCGTCACTCACAAACCCCTCACCATCACCAAGAACTCCTACATACATACTATTGCATCATCCCCCTATATAACCGCCTTGCCCTGTGTGTCAAGTGACGTTGGACCAAAAAACCCTCCCTCGCGCCCGACCAAACCTGAACTGAACTGCCTTGGGCCGCTCCGCTCGGGGCACTGCAAACACCAGCACCACGGGTACTGGGATGCGCTGCTGCACCTCGCCCGAAACCGTCGGCTGCGACACGACACGACACATCGATATGATGGACTGCTGTTGCGGACGCAGGCAGGGTCCTTGACGCAGGCGGGCTGCGAGGCATGGCATGCAAGCAAGCACGGCGGTACGGTGGGCGCGTCGTCGCCGTTTTGTTGAAAGGGGGGGAAGGGGGGGGGGGGTTGTTGGGTTTGCGGTTGCGTTGACTTGACTTGATGTTCAGCTTGCTGCAG